TGCCTGCTCCTCGCACCAAACCAGTGGTGCGTGTACCCAGTCCGGCACGGCCCGTACCTGCTCCTCGCACCAGACCAGTGGTGCGTGTTCCCAGCCCGGTGCGGCCCATGCCTGTTCCTTGCACCAGACCAGTGGTGCGTGTCCCCAGCCCGGTACGGCTGGTGCCAGAGCAGTCCGCTCCACTCCAGTGCCAGAGCAGTCCGCTCCACCAGTGCCCAGTCAAGCTCCGGTCAGCTGCTCCAGTCCAGAGCCAGAGCAGTCCGCTCCACCGGGGTCCAGTTCAGCTCCGGTCAGCGGCTCCACTCCAGAACTAGACGTCAACCCCTCTCCAGGGTCGGGGCCTCCCACACCAGGGTCCAGACAGGGCTTGGTGCATCGTGGGAGGATTGAGAGGGGAAGCATCGCACCGAGGTCCAGACCGGACCAGGGGTGCAACGGGGAGGCAGAAAGGGAGAGGACGTCACGCCCATAGCTGGAGCCGCCACCGAGGCTAAATGCCCACCCGGACCCTCCCCTAATGAGTCAGGTTGGTGCGGCCGGAGTACGCACCTTTGAGTGGGGGGGGGGGGGGGGGGGGGTACTGTCACGCCCTGACATAGAGATCTCTAGTTGGTTTGGTCAGGGTGTGAATATCTATGTGTACATTCTAGTTCTATGTTGGCCGGGTGTGGTTCCCAATCAGAGGCAGCTGTCTATCGTTGTCTCTGATTGGGGATCATACTTAGGTAGCCATTTTGCCTACCTATGATGTGGGATCTTGTTTCTGTTTGTTTGGCTTGTTTTGATGTATAGCCTTTAGAACTTCACGTTCTGTTGGATTTTGTTGTTTTGTCGAGTGTTTATTATTAACATTAAACATGTACGCATACCACGCTGCACCTTGGTCCAATCCTTTACACGACGAACGTGACATGTAGAAGCCTTGCATACATACTGTGCAATATTAGCAGAAACTTTCACTTTGCCTTGGGGCAGTTTCCTCTACCAAATGTTTCCCATTGTAGATTAAATTGCAGCATTTGTACCCTCAGGACTTGAAGGACTTGAATACTGTTAACTAAATTAACATGAAAAGTCATTCAAACAGTGTCAAAACACAACAAAAAAGTTTGTATTAAAATGACAATGCTGTATTTTTATTTCACTTTGGTGTACAGTCAACATTACAAGAGTAGCATGTCTTTTTACAATAAAATAACTACAATTACAACAATAGAAATAACAATACCCATAAAATAGCCAAATTGAGTAATTTCACACTTGATAACATATTGTCTATTATATTTTCTGTTTTGAAATTAAATAGATAATTTATGTATGGAATGATGTATGATTCCTGTTGAGTGACCGTCATCTCACTCACGTTCTCTTTGGTGACAGGTATCAGGTTGAATGTGGTCAAATGCAAAGGAACATGATATGGGTCTCAATTAGGGTTGCAAAGGGAGGGTATATTACTGGAAACTTTCAAACTACACTACCAGAATTTTGGTATCATTCAAGAAGTTCCTGTAATCTATCAAAATACATCTAGTGGCCCTTTTGGGTAATTCAGATTATCACAGGTGTCTATAATTACCTCTGGTCCTCTGTGTGGCCTTATCACAGACAAAATAGAATGACAAAGCTGTAAAACATGATCCTAAATATAAACCATCAACTTAGTGAATACCTTTGACGTTTAATATGAGGGTTTCAGCATGAAATACACTTGTATTTATTTTACTATGTCAATTAGTATTTGTTGTCAATGTTTTGGCATCAAATTGGTGGCAGTTGTGAACATGTCAATAGTTGGAAGAGTTGCAGAGTTAAATTAATCTACTAGAAACTCATGGACAAATTTGGACACAGACATAAAAAAGGAATACTATATATATGAATACATTTGTCTTTTTAAAGTCATTCAAGTATAAATTACCAAAGTTATGATAGATTGCCATAGATTTTCTGTTAATTATCAAAATGACTGAAGATTCTGGTAACTTTGGAAAACTAGCGGTAGCTTTGCAACCCTAGTCTAAAATGGTTAAAGCATTGGTTGAGGGGAGATGTAGTGGGGTAGATATAGCACTATGATATGCAGAGCCATAGTTTTAAACCTCTCTTCATCCCTGAATACGTAACACTCCCAGACACACGTAGAGCCCAAGTGACAAATAATGAAATAAACTGTGACAAAGGTGTTTGGAGTGCATGCGCAGTTTCAAGGGGCAGCAAGTTTTCCCAATTCATATTAGACACCTTAGTAACATAATTGTTCAATAAGGCTAAATAACACCACAAGGGCTATATGGATATTTGGGGTATAACTGTCAAACAGTATTAATCCAATACCAGCCTGATACAATAATAAAGTGTTATGTAATAATACCTCAAAATGGGGCTGTGACCCAGTACCTGAGGGAACCACTAGATGTCGGTCTCAATCTAACTCAGGGGCTGTTGAGCTCAACACATTTCACTTCTTATTGCTTCACTGCCCAAATTGATCAGCAAAACTCAAAAGTGGCAGGTACAAACACTTGAGCTGTGTTCTTTTCCATTTCCCGCCCAACCAACACACTCAACAGAAGGGATAAAACTATTGAGATGACAACCCGTATATCATGGTACTGTATATCTACAAAGGAAGACAAAGTGTAATTTGTGTGTTACAACCCAGTGTGAGGTGTATCATCTACTTTGACTAAAACTAAACGCACAAATCACAAACAGTGAATATAAATGGCTGTTCACTTTAAAGCAGTTGTTTTAAATTACAACAATTATATGAAGGCTTACTTCTATCTTCAACATAACCGGAGCCAACTTTTTCAACCCTGCAGTGAGGCTTCTCTTTCAACAAAATCTCTTGTACAGTATTTCTGAATAAACTATCACTAAAATTGTTGAATAGACTCTTTTCAACTACAGATTTTAAAAGAGCTACTGAGATTCTCCCAAAACAGTGAGAACACCTTTTTTTACCTTGAGCATAGGGTATGGTGCCAACATGTAGGCTTAGTAGATATCCCACTCCGACTGGAGGAAATAGTCATGCCTTGGAGAGGTCCCACTTAAGAATGACATAAACCCTGTGAAGTACATCCCTAAACAGCTTGACTAGGAGAACGGAAAGGCACAGGTATCAAATGCACCAGAGCACAGGAAGGAGCTAATAAAAGCACTCATGTTCCTGCCTCTGGATTGGGTGAAGGTTTGCATTCAGTCCAGGCACTTCAACCCAAAATCATGAAGCCAAGCCTACTTTCAACTACTGTCGAAAATGTGTTAAAACGTCTTAAATGATTCGCTTTCATATCGTATCATGCATCAATGTTAGAGAACATCAGTCATAACTTCACTTCAGTAGGCTTGATGTTGATTGTTACCAACACTAGGGTACCTGATTTAAATTAATGCAACAAAGTGAAAACACATTTGATGTTTATCCAATGAGACCTAAGTCACAGTATAAGTAATATTATTCTGGCCTAATTTAAACTGACTGAGAATGAATCATTCTACAATGATATTTTAAAAAGTTGTGTTGAGTCTCTACTCAAATGATTATTCCCACGAGTCACTGGATTTAAACTTTTAAAGCTTAGCAACTACTGTATTACAGCCTGGATCATGTCTTGGGGTTCCCCAAGGCTCCACTGTGGGTCCACTCCATATTCTATCTTATATTGATTTGCTGATACAGGCATAGTGTGATATGAGGCTGTAAGGGGGAACTTACAAGAGGAGAAAATGCTGAGAGTCTGAGGTTTTGGCTGAAAGACAAACTGGGTTTACACTGTTATCATGAGGTATTCTGGCTTTGGTGAGTTCCACCATATGGCAAACTGTTTGGTTACATACACTGTACTGCTTCATCACAAATACAAACACCACTTTTAAAGCTGACATTTCTGGGCTTTTTTTCATCTTTTGGTAAGAAAATAAATTAGCTTGAGAAAGGTGCCCTGTGCTATTACAGGGCTAACGAGCTAACAATGTTAACAATGACTAACTATGTGATTTGAGCTCCACACACAGCAGAACACAACACAAGCACAGATATGACAAATTGGCTGGCTAGGTTCTTTAGGACGCTGGTTCCATCACTCTGGTGTTCTTCCAAGGTTCTGAGCCATTTTGGTTCTGTGACCCAGGTTTTGGTCTGGATTTGCCAAAGACTCTGTAAATCTTCTAGGTTAACCTCAGAATCCACATCTGATTTTTTTGTGTGAGATGTGTGTGTGACCACGTCATATTATTCATGAGTTATTTGGGTCAAGTTCTTTAGTCCTCCTGGGTTTGGGTCATCTCTGGATTTCTGACCTGTGTGTGTGTGTGTGTGTGTGTGTGTGTGTGTGTGTGTAAGCAGGAAATAAGCAAGTGTGGATTGTGTGTGCATTTGAGGAGTACCAAAGTGCTTGTATCATGTTAGGACACTGAATCTCTGAAACACATCCCTAGATTTCTACAGTGCATATCTATTTCTGTAGAGAACAGAAGACCAATAAACATTAATTACTCAGTAGACATATTTACTAAAGTTACCTGATTATACTATAATAACCTCCATGAACGGTAATTCAGGGGTCCAGGCTGCTTTGTAGCGTTTGTTTAGCATGTGGAAGCTGCGCAAAAACAATTAATGTTCACAAAACATGGAAAGTATGCTAAGGACATCAGTAGTTTTATGTCTGCATGCCCACAGACATGTGGTTTGGTTAGTGGTTGCATTGCCGTGTGGGAGACAGTACAAGTGGTTAAGAAGTGTGCAGTGATTGTTGGCTGCTTGAGTGTGTGTCTGTGTGTGACGGAGAGATTGAGGTTAGCCTTTGTGAGGCTTTGAGTGGCTCTAGATTGTGAGCGTTAAATAGAAAGAAAACATGCATGTGCCTGTATGTGGTTCTATCAGCATGTATCAGTCTATATGTATCATCAAGAGGGGGAATCAGTGTGTGTATGATTGTACGTTTTTAACCCAGTATGGATTTTCAACTGGTCCTCTTTCCTTTCACTCAGTTAGCGGGTCCTGGGTCGGCCAAGGGCATGGTGTGTAGTACCTCGTCCAGCAGCTGCAGGGCCCGGTGCAGGTGGACCTCCACCCAACACGGGGTATGTTTGATGCTCTGCCGGGGGTAGTCGGGCCCCCAGCCCTTCACAAAGCTCAGCCGCAGGATACACAGCCTCCGGAGGTCATCCACACCTATCCCTGCTGCTGCAGAAAGACCTGGAAGAGAGAGGAAGTGAGGTATTAGGGATGGGCATTTGAAAGGATTTCACTATTAGAATAATATCATGATTTTTTTCCGGATAGTCGAAATACATGTTTTTAAAAGAAAACTTCACATGGGGAGTTGCTCGCGTGACTCGGGAGGGAGCCGGTGCGCTACACTCTTAGAAAAAAGGGTTCCAAAAGGGTTCTTCAGCTGTCCCCATAGGATAACCCTTTTTGGTTCCAGGTAGAACTCTTTTGGGTTCCATGTAAAATCCTCTGGGGAAAGGGTTCAACATAGAACCCAATAGGGTTCTACCTGGAAACAAAAGTGTTCTACCTGGAACCAAAAAGGGTTCTGCAAAGGGTTCTCCTATGGGGACAGCCGAAGAACCCTTTTAGGTTCTAGATAGCATATTTTGTTCTAAGAGTGTATGCTTGTTTCAGCAGAAGGATGGGGGAGCAGCGGAAGAGGAGCAGGGGCTGGTGTGTGTGACAGTCTGTGTGGCATGGAGAGAGAGGGAGAGAGAAAAGTAGCCAAACCGACTCACGCTAGTTAGACAAACTTGTTGCTTCCATAGGTTCCTATCATACCATCTGGTAGTGCCTGTCTTGACTGCATCAAATCGATGTAAAGAAGCTAGCTAGCTAAGTTAGCCAGCTAAGTTAGCCAGCTAGCTAGCTGGCTAATTGAGGCTATTTTGCTGCGCTCCCAGTCCTTGTCTACAACAACTCCACTCATATTAAACAACAGCCTACCTGTTGGTTGATCATTGTAGCCTTTTCATTTAGTCAACTTAATTGTAATTCCATTTAGCATTGATTAGAAATCTCCCACTTCACTTGATACACATGGAGCCTCTGACTGTAGTGCCAACAACAACAAGCTACACACGTATAACCTGTGTAGGCTGAGGTATTCCTTTTTATGGGGCGCACGTCATAAAAACTACATTCAAAAGTTTGTGGTTTTATAAAATTAAGAATTGAAAATGTCATGGTATATCCTTCTGTGTAGCAATGTCAAATATATCATTTTATTTAATCGAGAAAGCCTTAAAATTGTTAAAATGAGCCTATATATTTTGTACAAAAAAAAAAGTATACTCTCTCAAGTAATCGAACACTAACGTCTGTTTGGATATTCAAATATTTGAATAATTGTGCCAATCCCTATGAGGTATACACTGAGTATACAAAACATTAAGAACACCTGCTCTTTCTATGAGATAGATTGACTAGGTGAATCCAGGTGAAAGCTATGATCCCTTATTGATGTCACTTATTAAATCCACTTAAATCAGAGTAGATGAAAGGGAAGAGACAGGTTAAAGAAGGATTTTTAAGCCTTGAGACAATTAAGACTTGGATTGTGTATGTGTGCCATTCAGAGGGTGAACGGGCAAGACAAAATATTTAAGTGCCTTTGAACGGGGTATGGTAGCGCACCAGTTTGTCAAGAACTGCAACGCTGCTGGGTTTTCACGCTCAACAGTTTCCCTTGTGTATAGATAATGGTCCACCACCCAAAGGACATTCAGCCAATTTAACCAAACTGTGGGAAGCATTTGGGTCAACATGGGCCAGCACCCTTGTGGAACGCTTTCGACACCTTGTAGACTCCATGCCCGACAAATTGAGGCTGTTATGAGGACAAAAGGAGCGGGGGAGCAACTCCATATTAGGAAGGTGTTCCTAATGTTTGGTATATTCAGTGTAGATTAAAAGAGAAATGGGGTGTCCCACAGGGGTCAATACTTGGACCCATTCTCTTCAAAAGAATAACACTTCAACAGAGGCAATAAATTCACAATAGCCTAATGGAAAATGTTTAATAAAAGACACTAAGGCTGTGCATATCTCATATACTGTACAATGTACTTACTGACTGCAGGGGCAATGCCTCCAACACTGCCTGGCCCGGGGATGTTGCCTGCCACGGCGGCAGCCTGAGCTGCTGCTGCTGCCTGCGCTGTAGCTGCCTGCTGCTGCATCTGCCTGTGACACTGTCTCAGGTCAAACACCTACAGGGGAGAGAACAGTCTAATGTCAGAACACCTACAGAGAGACATCAGTGTCCAGTCAAATTCCTATAGGGAGAGGTCAGAGGTCAAACAACTGCAAAGAGAACAGACAGAGGTCATTGTGTTCCTTACCTTGATGTAGGCGCCGGGGTAGATCTTGTGTACTGCGTCGCCTGGCGCTCTGCCTGCCTCTCGGTCTAGGTAGTAGCTCTGCACGAACACGGCGTGGTCGCTCATACAGCGCATCCACACGTCTCCCTCGCCACGACACTCCAGCTGCACTCCTTTACCTATGTGCAACCTGTGAGAGAGAGGGAGAGATGAAGATGCTGAGTACAAGTGAATATAAGTTAGTGTTATATATATATATATATATATATATATATATATAGTGTTATACTGTTATAGTGTTATATTTCAGTCAATAAAATAAGTTGCATTTAGCTAGTGGGTCTTCTGCCACAGGTAAAAACAGATAGAGACAAGGCATGGCATGATTATGAATGAGAGATATACACATAGTTTGCAAAAAGGCATAGATATACCAATCAACATTTCTGAGCCAAAACAACACAGACACATATAAAAGCATACAAAATACAAATTTGTGGCAAGGTAAGTACTAGCATGCTTATTGATATAGGGATAGCACTAGAGGAGCACAGACCTGGCTCTCTCGCTGGAGTCTGTGCGGTGGACGTTGCTGAGCTGGCCCAGACAGAAGCGGTCGCCCCCTGAGGGGTCCACGTAGCCATCCACAGTCACCACTGGGCAGCTGGCCGGCACTTTGAACATCTCCCCCACCTGGACATCCATCTCAAAGTAGGAGATGGAGCACCAGAACTCTGGTCCTGCACACAGACAATAATGTGGTTAGCAGAGTGTTTGTGTGTGCGTGCATGCTTTTGCATCTATACATCTACATACAGTGCATTCGGAAAGTATTCAGACCTCTTGACTTTTTCAACATTTTGTTGCGTTATAGCCTTATTCTAAAATGGATGAAATTGTTTTTTCCCCTCATCAGTCTACAAACAATACCCATAATGACAAAGCAAAAACTTTTTTTTTTTTATGTTTGCAAATTTATAAAAAATGAAAAACTGAAATATCACATTTATATAAGTATTCAGACCCTTTAATCAGTACTTTGCTGAAGCACCTTTGGCAGCGATTACAACCTCAAGGCTTCTTGGGTATGACACTACAAGCTTGGCACACCTGTATTTGGAGAGTTTCTCCCATTCTTCTCTGTAGATCCTCTCACGCTCTGTCAGGTTGGATGGGGAGCGCCGCTGCACAGCTATTTTCAGGTCTCTCCAGAGATGTTCGATCAGGTTCAGGTCCGGGCTCTGGCCGGGCCACTCAAGGACATTCAGAGACTTGTCCCGAAGCCACTCCTGCGTTGTCTTGGCTGTGTGCTTAGGGTCATTGTCCTGTTGGAATGTGAACCTTTGCCCCAGTCTGAGGTCCTGAGCGCTCTGGAGCAGATCCTCATCAAGGATCTCTCTGTACTTTGCTCCGTTCATCTTTCCCTCGATCCTGACTAGTCTTCCAGTCCCTGCACCTGAAAAACATCCCCACAGCATGATGCTGCCACCACCATGCTTCACCGTAGGTATGGTGCCAGGTTTCTTCCAGACGTGACGCTTGGCATTCAAGCCAAAGAGTTCAATCTTGGTTTCATCAGACCAGAGAATCTTGTTTCTCATGGCCTGAGAGTCCTTTAGGTGCTTATGGCTTCCGTCTGGCCACTCTACCATAAAGGCCTGATTAGTGGATTGCTGCAGAGATGGTTGTCCTTCTGGAAGGTTCTTCCATCTCCACAGAGGAACTCTAGAGCTCTGTCAGAGTGACCATCAGGTTTTTGGTCACCTCCCTGACCAAGGCCCTTCTCCCCCGATTGCTCCGTTTGGCCGGGCAGCCAACTCTAAGAAGAGTCTTGGTGGTTCCAAACCTCTTCCATTTAAGAATGATGGAGGCCACTGTGTTCTTGGGGACCTTCAATGTTGCAGACATTTTTTGGTACCCTTCCCCGGATCTGTGCCTCGACACAATCCTGTCTCAGAGCTCTACGGACAATTCCTTCGACCTCATGGCTTGGTTTTTGCTCTGACATGCACTGTCAACTGTGGGACCTTTATATAGACAGGTGTGTGCCTTTCCAAATCATGTCCAATCAATTGAATTTACCACAGGTGGACTCCAATCAAGTTGTAGAAACATCTCAAGGATGATCAATGGAAACAGGATGCACCTGAGCTCAATTTCGAGTCACATAGCAAAGGGTCTGAATACTTACGTAAATAAGGTAATTCTAAAAACCTGTTTTCGCTTTGTCATTATGGGGTATTTTCTGTAGATTGATGAGGGAATACATTTATTTAATCAATTTCAGAATAAGGCTGTAACGTAACAAAATGTGGAAAAGTCAAGGGGTCTGAATACTTTCCAAATGCACTGTATGTGTTGTCTTACCTGGATGATTGGACACAGGGGGAGGAAATGAGGCCGAGCCATGATGCTGAGACCCTAGAAGGTGAACAAGTAAAATACTTAGATTACGACACAGGTTACCAAACATACACTATTCCTAGGGCTGGGCGGTATACCGCATTTTACGATATACCGGTATTGATGCACGGACCGATTTGGGTTTTTACTTGACCTTCTATAACGGTATTTGAATGTTTGGTTTGTTAAATGTGATATGCCATGTGTAACGTACATTTTTGCAGTTTACTCCGATACTTGAATCATCTCTCGCCACTCTCTCTCTCTCCATGCCACTTTCCACACAGACCTAGCCCCGCCCCGTCACATGTATTCGGTCTGCATGGTCAATGCAGCACAAGCAACAACATTGATGACAACGATGCTGTTTTCACTTTGCTTCTTAATAGAAATCCACTAGCGTTCTATAATTACACTATTAGTTTGTGTTTCTTCTTTTCTTAGCAAGTTGGGCCTAAATTGTGTTAGCCGCTAATGCTAATCAGCATACCACCCTGCATCCCACTGCTGACTTGCCTCTGAAGTTAAGTAGGGTTGATCCTGGTCGGTCCCTGGATGGGAGACCAAATGCTGCTGGAAGTGGTGCTGAAGGGCCAGTAGGAGGCACTCTTTCCTCTGGTCTAAATAAATATCCCAATGTCCCAGGGCAGTGATTGGGGACATTGCCCTGTGTAGGGTGCTGTCTTTTGGATGGGACATTAAACGGGTGTCCTGACTCTCTGTGGTCACTAAAGATCCCATGGCACTTATCGTAAGAGTAGGGCTGTTAACCCTGGTGTCCTGGCTGAATTCCCAATCTGGCCCTTATACCATCATGGCCACCTAATCATCCCCAGCTTCCAATTGGCTCATTCATCCCCCCTTCTCTCCCCTGTAAATATTGCCCAGGTTGTTGTTGTAAATTAGAATATGTTCTCAGTCAACTTACCCGGTAAAATAAGGGTTAATAAAATAAATAAATCACTAGTTAGCTAACTAATACATTTACAGAGTCAACAATATCTTCTAAATCAAAGAAGAATATGCGAAGCATGAATATGTTAGCTACATGAAGTAGCTATGAGAAAACATTAAATGTAGACAAAGATTATAGTGTCCCCTAGGAAACACATAACACTTTGGTTCCTACCCTGTCACAATAACTTCTCCCTGGCATTTTCATTCGTTGTCATGTCAAACACTGTATTCAAAGTGCCCACTTTTATATTCTAACTATAGAATTAGAATAATCATTCTATTTCCATGATTCCAACAGTTCGCCAAAGTGTTTTGCTCTAAATCGCAAGTCAAATCGCTATTTCAACATTTGGTTAAAAATAAGGCCTAGATTGTTTGCCCATATCGTGCAGCCCTACGTGACAGTGTGGAAATTATCCCAAATGAGTGCAGGAAATGCAGAAATCTTTCAATTGTTTTTGGTTGAAGTTGAACTGAACAGTATAAAACTATCAGAATGGAGGAAGACCCATTGAAATCACTTAGAATGTATGTGTTGCCACACTAGGGTCAAGCTCTACTCATAAAGCAAATTTAGAACTTGTATTATTCAAAAACATAAAATACCGTCCAAAATTTTAAAAGAACCATGATATGATATTTTGGCCATATCGCCCAGCCCTAACTATTCCTAACAATATCCAAGCACCTCAGAAGAGATAAAGACACACTTTGGGCTTGCATACTATAACTTACTGTAACTGCCTAACTTACAGAAGTGGGTTGGATGGTGGAGAGGAGGCTGTTGGTGGCCACACCCATTCTGTTGTTGGGGTCCTACAGGAGTGTATGAGGCTGTGCTGCTGCCTGTCCAAGTTGCTGAATTCCAAAACAAGAAATACAAATTAACAACAGGCACAAGTCATCAATCAGGCAAACTACCATTTTGCATTTTTACAACTATTTCGATTTATTTTTACACTTTTTAAATATGACGATTCATCATGCCATTGAAATGACTTGTGTATTGCTCCCTGAGTGTTTGTTTGTGTGTGTGTGTGTGTGTGTGTGTGTGTGTGTGTGTGTGTGTGTGTGTGTGTGTGTTTGTGTTTGTGTGTGTGAACCGTATGGCAGTACTAACTGTGGAACGCAGCCTGTGTCTGTGTGTGTTTGGAGCTGTTGTATCCATTCTGACCAGGCGGCGGCTGGGGTGGCTGGGGGGTCTGTGGTGGCCCATGTGGCGGGCCGTGTGTTGGGGTGGAGGGGGGCGGCGTGGGGGTCATAGGGGTCATGGGGGTCATGACCTGACCCTGAGGAGAGGCGATCTGTAGGAGCCCCTCACTGTGACCTCCCTGGAGAGGCAGCATAGAGCCGGATACTAGAGAGGAGAGAGAGACCCACACGAAGAGCTACCAGGTTGTTGTCAATATCAATAGGTAGGCAGCAATCAATAAACAAAACTTAATATAATGGGATTACGCAGTAACACCCTTAGAAACAGAAATAGAACACTTATGGACATCTTTGGTAACATCTATCTGCCAAACAATCACCTAAGCTTTATTAAAAGATCACCTTAGGGAGCAGCAAAACAGGAGCGGACATTCCATTTTTCTCTATGTATTGGAACTTATTTTGGTCTAGTTCCCGTTATTATGTTGGATGTGCGTAAAACTCCCTCCATTCATTAAACAACTATCGGTCTTACCTGTGGGCGAGAGGGGCATGTTGGGGTAGAGGGTGATGGGCGGAGGGGCGCGCTGCGGTTCCGGCGGGAGCTGCAGAGGCGGGAGGGGCTGGCCGTAGTGGTCCGGAGGCGGTAGCTTGAGCGCCCCTGGGTGGGGGTGAGAGTGGGGGTGGTCCGACGGGGACATGCCTGGTGGCATTTCCATCTGGATACAGTCATGAATGTACTCCTCTTTGATCAACCTCCCAGGGGGGCCTAGAGGAGAGAGGGAGAGGGCTGCCAACAACATGGTATAACATTAGTTTCAATTTTTATTAGTCGTATGTAGGGGATACACATGGTTTACACCGTCCAACGAAACACTAACTTGCAGGTTCCTTCTCGACAATGCAACAATAAGAAATAATAATACGAACATGAAGTAAATGGCTCAGTAGAATAAACATTTTAGCTTAAGTAAAATATATAACCATCTGTGTGTAATGCATTAACCACCTGTATTAACAGGTATAAAACCTGTATTATATTATTAACCACCTGTGTGTAATGCATTGTGAATGCATTTATGCAATTATGAACATTAAAACGTTCAATGCTTTGTAATGAATGCAAGTCATTTTTGGCTAGGCAACTATAAATTCATTGGTTGGTAGAGCATGGCGTTTGCAACGCCAGGGTTGTGGGTTCGATTCCCACGGGGGGCCAGTATGAAAATGTATGCACTCACTAACTGTAAGTCGGCTCTGGATAAGAGCGTCTGCTAAATGACTAAAATGTAAAAAATGTCAAATTAATGCAGAAACAGTCTGGCATCCAGGCCAGTGAGGCACGAGCGAACCTCAATAGTACTATTTTCACACTATTGACTTGAATTTTTTTCTTTTCACATTGTCCTTTCCAGCACAGTTCCAGCAACTATGGTGGATGCTTAGCCAGACCAGCACAGTGCAGCTAGGCTCAGTAGTGTGAAAAGGGTGTAGGACTGAAAGGAAAGAGGAATGTTTGGTCATCTAATACCATCAGCAAAGTATAATACTGTTATACTAAACAAGCCTGCAGTAAGTTCGTTAGTACTGAGATAGTGCACTCACCTGTATTTTGAAGACTGAGACCAACTTTGAAAGAGAACAAAAGAAAGAAAACAAAAGAGGGAATAAGAGAGAGAAAATGCTTATCATTTGTAGTTAAGTTAAATTGTCAAAATATCATTCACATAAACCTTTTTATGCGAGTAAAGTCCATGTTGGATAGAAAATGTCACAACAGGCCTGATGGAAACAGCAAATTTGTCGGTAAACTTTCCATATGTCGACAAAACAAAATACGCTACACAAGGTGGGATCTTTTTGTGTCTGTAAAATGTATTATGTGCACAAATATTGATATAATAACCATCATATCGAAGTAAACTTGGGAGTCACGCGATGATATGTTGTGTGGTCTTTCCATTACGACTCGGGAAAGCTTGCAGTTTATTAGGCAACACATGAAATAAGTTATGTTGAACTTCACAGGGTGGTGAAAGTGCACGCTGATGAGCTTGATGCTCTTTTCCAATAAATATTGAGGGTCTAATTCTGGTTAGATGATGATTGATGCTTGGCTGGCGTTTGACAAATATCAAATCTTGCTCTTATCCATAATAATCTCATCATGTAGGTAGCCTACTTGCACTGTATCTGGGAGCTGATGGCTAGAGCGCACGTGCCAAGAACCGAACGGGCACATACGCTTATTATTAGAAAAACATTTGGGGACAAAACCATCAGTAGTATTGAAAATGCGATGGAAACTTTTTTTTTTTTTTATGTCATCACGCACAGCTTTTTATCCACAGAAAGTACATTTGATTGAAACATCTCTGCTGGGAAAACGCATATTGTTTTTCTGCGGACTTCAGAATATTTGCATGAAAATCTGTCGCCACCTGGATGGAAACCTAGCTACTGTAATTTTTGTCATGTTATAACAGAAAACATAGTATTTACGTATCAGAAACACCTGCACCATTTGACATTACGCGATATAGGGCGAACTATCCCTTTAAGCTGTTGAACAGACCTACCAATGCCGGGCGAAACCACTCTCTCGTAGTGGTAGGGGTTGACACACACATTGTCATATTTGAGGTCGAAAGCGTATTGACAGAACTTGACGTGCTTTAGCTCATTCTTGTGCAGGTCTGGCCAGCGCCATAGTCGAGCGTAGATCACATGGGGGAAGCCTTTCCTCCCTGCAACCTGGAGATAGAGACAGAGAGAAAGAGAGAGAGAGAGGGTAATTCAAGGAGGGATGGAGTTTTTTGCCCACATTATGACATCACAATCTGATCTGATTATTCTGACCAATGACCAGTCATCTTTTATTTGCATATGTATCCTCCTACTTTGAAGGGGTAAGTGGGGTAGGCTCTAGAACAGGGGTCCCCAACCCTGTTCCTGGAGAGCTACCCTCCAGTAGGTTTTCGATCCAACCCCAGTTGTAACTAACCTGGTTCAGCTTTTCAACCAGCTAATTATTAGAATCAGGTGTACTAGATTAGGGTTGGAGTGAAAACCTACAGGACGGTAGCTCTCCAGATACAGGGTTGGAGTGCCCTGCTCTAGAGTCTACACTCCCCATAGGAGAACCCTTTTTGGTTCAAGGTATAACACTTTTTGGTTCTATGTAGAACCCTCTGTGGAAAGGGCTCCACATGGAACCCAGGAGTTCTACCTGGAACCAAAAGGGTTCTACCTGGACCCAAAAAGAGTTCTTCAAAGGGTTCTTCTATAGGGACAGCCGAAGAACCCTTTTAGGTTCTAGATAGAGTGTAGACAATCCTATCTGGGCTGTGTATGTAAATATATAAAAATGTGTATCAACACACCCACAGGATCAAACTGAGCATTTCAATGGCAAAAGGAGGCTCTGGAAAATAAATGGTAAAAAATATATTTAGAGTTATTTTCACGAAATAAACACACACAGTGATTTATTAGACATATAGTACAGTGATGATTTAAAAAGGAAAGTAAAAAGACTGCCTTGGGGCTTTAACAAACAACATTTCTTTATGAAGCTTGCATTTAATTGTCCCTCCCTGATGCAAACAACAAGCTGATTTGGCTGATTTAAGATGAAAACTTCAACCCTGTTACTTTATTTGGCAGTTAATAGGCACTTACTATAGTCATTTTTTTATTTAACCTTTTATAATATAATATAATATGCCATTTAGCAGACGCTTTTATCCAAAGCGACTTACAGTCATGCGTGCATACATTTTTGTGTATGGGTGGTCGAACCCACTACCTTGGCGTTACAAGCGCCGTGCTTTACCAGCTGAGCTACAGAGGACCAAACATGTTTTTATGAAGAACACGTGCTCTTTATGACATAATGTTAAAATTAGATGAAATTAAAACGTTTATTATTTTACAAAAGTACACTACCCAAAAGGCACGATTGACCCAACTGTCAAAAATACATGTATTCCTGTACAATATGACAGCATGTTTTAATCAATAGGCAGTTATATATCATATTGGTAAACACTGAAAATAAATGTGATTAACCTCTAAAAGTCTAAGCCTGTGATGAGGTGGTGTTGAAGAAGTCAGGCGCAGAAGGGTAAATCACAGAATAACAGGCTTTAATCCGCAAAATACAGGATTACGCAGAAATGCGTCAAACACACTCCAGGGCACAAAACAGGCGCACTGGAAAATACAAGGCACACGGGAGAATACTCCCATCGATACACAATACACGAGCTCCACCGAGCTACACAAACCTCCACAATAAACAATCACCCACACAGACAAGGAAGCAGAGGGAACACTTATACCATGACTAATGAGGGAATAAGGACCAGGGGTGTGTGATTGAAGACAAGACAAATGGAGTGATGATAAATGGATCAGCAGTAGCTAGTAAGCCGGTGACGCCGAACGCCGAAACCTGCCCGAACAAGGAGGGGAGGCAGCCTCGGCGGAAGTCGTGACAAAGCCGTTGGAGGAGGGGGGGTGGGCTGGAGTACTAAGCTAACATATGGAATTGTTTTAAGATGGTCATTTTGCAATTTGATTTTGAATTTATAAAATATTGAATTTGGCCTTTACTACTATAGCCCATAGAAACACACTTAATAACACATGCATAAAAGGCAAAAAAGACAGTAAAGAAATCATAAGAAATAAGGTTTTGAATTGTCTGTCCTGTATCTAGGAGATATGGAAAGCTTGTTTTTTTTTACACATATTTAAGCCCTTATTTTTGTTGGCACAAAACTACCTCCATACTTTATTTGTTTGTATGGGTTACCTTCAGAGGAGTCCCTTGTGGGGGTTGTAGAGCAAAACGGAGAACACCATCGTTTTTGTGAGAAGACCGATTTTCGATGCGTCTCATGGTCTGACAAACACAGCTCGGCCATCTTCCAACGCAGATGCGGAAGGCCGACAAAGGCGGATGCGGTGGATTGAGACGCAGCCCAAGCAAAAAACGGATCTCTCTAGCTTAAATTGACAGATTTTGATGGGAATCTTTTTTATTATGTTACTTAGATTGACGCACAGGTGAAGCAAAGATGGAACCTCATGACAAACTTTCATGAGGTGTCTTTGGAAGAGGAACAGAGACACAAGAGACTGTAACCTCTGTTCATACACGCTTGGGCTAAAGGTCAGAGATCAAATAATAGGAGTTACCGGGGATGCTGGTGTAGCGGACATGAGTCTCATGATGAGGTAGCCCTGCCTGGGACTTCAAAATAAGTGTCACCCTCGGCCCATCTAACAGTCAAGATGTTGGTTTCTCCTGTGGGAGACCTGGGTTCGGATCCTGTTCGTGATAATGGCACCAAACTGTGGGTCAGTCTCTTGTGGAGGAGGTGGTCTAAGGGGGATGAATGTAGCAGACATGAGTCGGACACATGGTCTCGTGATGCCCCTCATTGTCACCATCACCCTTGGCCTAACAGCCAAGACATTGGTTTCTACCTTGAGATACCCAGGTTTAGATCGCGCCCGTGACACTGGCTTCTCCCATTCCAAATCAGGGCACTCTCATAAGCCTAGAAAATATTAACATATTACCGCGAGCACTCCCATGATAGTCTAATTGTTTTTATAGAGAACATTTCAGGGCACCTCCAAGAGTCAATGTATCATTCGCACCCTACACTAAGTCTCATGTAGTGTGTTATGATGTCCCCTTTACTCTGCTACTACAGCTGCTGGTGTCAATACTGTTCTGACTGTACCTGGAACATTCTGGAAACAGCAGGGTAAAGGGTGTGTGTGTGGCAGGGAGATGAATTGTGTGTGAAAATAGGGGTGGGGAGTGAGTTTGTACAGTATTTAATGTGTGTGTGTGCCTCCATGCATGCGTGTGTGTGACAGAGAAAGAGAGAGACGGAGAGAGACAGAGAACGGGAGTGGGTGACAGAAAGAGAGGATATGGATCTACATGTGACTGTGAGCAAAGTCCTTAGACATTTGAAGCCTGATCTAGTCTCCAGCTATGTCTATACAGCTCCCCCTCTCTCTCCCTTCCCCTTATGTTGGGGAGAAGGTCACCGAAGGTGAGACATGATGTCTTCACTCAGCAGTTAGGATTTATTCTGCCAGGGCGTATTGAATTAACTGCCTCTCTCTAGTTCCACTGTGCGCAGGCACACACACATACAGTATATACACACACACACACACACACACTCAAAACAGACGGCCTCAAATTAGCCCGGCCCCTTTCCTGTGTCTCAGACAAAACAACTTTAACAGCCCCTCCAGCCCTCCTCCTCTTTCTCCCCCTCCCTCTCCAGGGGGACGGGTGGGGGTTCAATGGGAACTCCCTACAACGTTATCTCTCTTGACATGCAAAACTTGACTGTGTGCTGTTCTGTTGACAGTACATGTGGTACTGGCCACCATAATTCAGGCTTCAACTGTTAAACACAAGTTTATGATTTCTGCAACATTAGCATCACCAATAACCAAACAGCCTCAACCACCATTGGAAATAGGATTCTCCTTAGCAATACTGAGGTGTTAGCTACTATTATCAAGTATCCCTTTGTCTCACTACTATAGCACTAGCCACATTAGCAAAACCTGGCTGTTAGCTAACACGTTTAGCGTTTAATGTAAGTCGTGAGACTTCCAGCTGTCAGTAACTCTATAGTGTTAGCCTCAGTGAGTACAGTCTGCTGCCTAGTAACTTTGCAGCATTAGCCACCATTAGCAAGGCTTAAGTAACTGAAACCTCATAGCATCCACATAAATTAGCAACTCCTCATTTGACTATTGCCCTGTAGCATTATCCAACACTGTTTCCAGGTAAAGTCTATGAAAGAGTTTAGCATTTAGCTGTATCGAGGCAAAGATATATACAGTGCTATGAAAAAGTATTTGCCCCCTTTCTAATTTTCTCTACTTCTGCATATTTGTGATACTGAATGTTATCAGATCTTCAACCAAAACCTAATATTAGATAAAGGGAACATAAGTGAACAAATAACACAACAATTACATAAACCAAACACTGCATTCCACAGTAAGAACTAACTGTAAGTCGCTCTGGATAAGAGCGTCTGCTAAATGACTAAAATGTCAATGTAAATGTAAGAACATCATACCAAAGGTCAAGCATGGTGGTGGTGGTGTGATGGTTTGGGGATGCTTTGCTGCCTCGGGACCTTGACGACTTGCCTTAATAGCAGGAACCATGAATTCTGCTCTGTATCAGAGAATTCTACAGGAGAATGTCAAACCATCCGTCTGTGAGCTGAAGCTGAAGCGCAGCTGGGTCATGCAGCAAGACAATGATCCAAAACACACAATCAAGTCTACATGAAAATTGCTAAAAAGCAACAAATTGGAAGTTTTGGAATGGCCTAGTCAAAGTCCAGACCTAATCCCAATTGAGATGTTGTGGCAGGACTTGAAATGAGCAGTTCATGCTTGAAAACCCACACGTCACTGAGTTAAAGCAGTTCTGCATGGAAGAGTGGGCCAAAATTCCTCCACAGTGACGTGAGAGACTGATCAACAACTACAGGAAGCATTTGGTTGGAGTCATTGCAGCTAAAGATGGCACAACCAGTTATTGAGTGTAAGGGGGCAATTACTTTTTCACACAGGGGAATTGGTTGTTGCATAACTTTGTTTATGAAATAAATATGTAATTGTTGTGTTATTTATTCACTTATGTTCCCTTTATCTAATATTAGGTTTTGGTTGAAGATCTGATAACATTCAGTATCACAAATATGCAAAAGTGGAGAAAATTAGAAAGGGGGCAAATACTTTTTCATAGCACTGTACGTTTCCATGTTGCCTATCATCATTAAAGATTTTTCATGTCTTTCAGTACAATACCTCCCACAAAAAACCAGGGCAACAGCGGCAAGGAGAAACTCCTTGAGAGGTTTCACAGTAGGTTTCACAGTGTCATGACATACATAAATGGTCTATTTATGTATTTCTCAGTTTACTAAACTGTAGTTAAATAATCGCCTCCTCATATCGCACATTGTTGAAGACAAGTTTCAAATTAAATCACACTGCCAGACTATAATGAGGTTTATGCAATTTTTTGCACAATGCTTTTGCTCTATGAAAATGTTGCCCTAAGTCTTTCTCTGTGATATTACGTTTGCATTTTAGTCATTTAACAGACAACTTACATGATCAATAAGGGTTAAGTGCATTGCTCAAGGGCACATTGGCAGATTTTTCCTAGACGGCTCAGGGATTCGAACCAGAAACCTTCCGGTTACTGGCCCAATGCTCTTAACCGCTAGGCTACCTGACACCCGCTTTAGCTAGGCTATAGACCTGTACTGTGTACATGCCCTACTTACATGTCTCTCTATGTGCTATAGGTGACCCATCTGCAGGTGTCCATATACATGAATGAATACACAATATATAATTTATACTATAGACTTTGCACAATATATTGAGTATTCATTCATGTATATGGACACCTGCAGATGGGTCATCTATAGCACATAGAGAGACATGTAAGTAGTGCATGTGTACACAGTACAGGCCTATATCACAGAGAAAGACTTGGGGCAATATTTTCATAATGTCCCTCTCTTTTTACTACTGTATGACCTACTTGCAGGCGTCCGTCTAGGGTCCTCTGGATGGTGACACACTTGCTGGGGTGCACTCCATTGGTGGTGATGGCGGTGATGAGTGAGTCCAGCTCGTCCTTCTTCTCCTTCAGCTTCTTCACAAGGCTCTCGATGGCGCGCTTGGCGAAGCCCTCATTCTCGCCGCCCTGCCGGTGGCACATGAGGCTGTGCACGATGCTCAGGCAGGCATCATTGCTGCTGGGGGCGTTCACCGACATGATGCTGCCGAGGGAGGGAGGAATGGAGAGGTCAGTGGTTAGCATAATGATAACCCTCGACATATGTCATAACACTTGTCATAAAGGTTCAGGTGCATGCAAAATGACACTGTGTTGTCATTTGACATTCAGTTGTTATGTTATGTTTATGACAACATTGTGATACTGTTATAGCATACAATTCAAAATAGTGTCCTACATAAGGACTTAATAACCCATACATACTGCATTCATGAGCACAGACATGAGTGCACACCATTGGCGCACACAGACACACAAAAGGGAGTGAAGTTGTGTATCAAGGCTTGTGCTTTTAGTTGTTACGACTTGCTTGTGTGTGTGTGTGTGTGTGTGTGTCATCGTTCTTTACTGGCATTGTTACTCAGCTGATAACACTCAGTATCAACAAATTAATTTAAGCGTTCCAACTGGCTTCCCTCCATCTCTCTAGAAAGAGTCCCAGGGCTGCATTCAATAAAATTAGCTTCTTCAATGTTGATTCTGATGCAGTATCTTTGCTTACAAGCTGCTGCCCCTGCACGGGTTGCCATTGCCAACCCTCCCGGCTGGTCTCCACCGGAGTCTCCAGGAATTGGCCTTTATCTTGGGGTATAAAGCTATTTTGGGAGATTATAGTAATGTCGTTGACTGAGACGTGAAAAATGTCCCTATAGAATACACTGTTCATAATGCATTATACAATTATACTATCTTATGAGCCATGGATAATGCACTCTTATGCACAGCATACGTGCTAACAACTATAATCTCCCAGAATGAGCTTGATCCAACTTGGCAACCCTAGCCTAGCGGCACCTGCCTGTGAGGGGAATCTACCTGGTACTTTAAAATAGCCTGCCCTTAACCATCCTACAGTTTAATTTGACAAAGGGGAAACCATATTTGTGTGCTACTAGTGCAATGTCAATTTGATTAAATTGAGCCCCCCATACTCACTAATCAACATACCTCCACTACCAGGGTCGAGTTCAGGAGGCACAAAATGAAAGAGAAAAAAAGAACGCTTCAAAACTGAGTGAAACAGGGTGGTACTATCTGCACTAAAAATAAATATTTGATCTTATGTAAGCTAATTTTTTAACTGTTAGGCCAATAACCCCAAAATGTCACTATTAGGAAATCCATAGCAAAACTGCAGCCTTGCTCTGTTTGTCTGTCTGTTAATAAGCGCAAGAGCTAAAATAATTCTGCCATGACAGAGCTATCATAACCTGTTAGCATCTACGTGGCTAAGCTGACTGGAAGTGACTCCATGTTCTCCCTCCTCTCATTATCTTAATATCTGTCCGTTTGGAAACATCCTCGCACAACAACATGGCTTCAAGCTGTGGGAGAAAGTCTCAGGCTACCAGTGTGGGTGTGTGTATGTGTACTCTCAGGAAATTCATTGACACAGCTTCTTCAACATATAACAGCCATAAAAAGACAAACTCAGTCACCATAACATGAGTCACATCACAAAACAGCCAGTCCTACTTATATCAAGCAATGTGTGTCTTCGTTATTCAGGATATACTGTATAGGCCAGGCTTACTGAGTTGGTGTTGTAGTCTAAAGCTTATCTAGAGCAGGATAGCATTGCTTTGATAGTTGTTTTTTCAAAGCAGTCATAGGGAACGGTGCATGACACCATCAAAAAGCCTGGTGTGTCTGTCCTCTTATGCTGAACCAATCTGATAAATATCTAGGGGCAGGGGTTAGGGGGTTATATTGGACTAGGCCAGTGTTACTGTGAGGTCATTGCTCCAATAGAGATGGGGAGTGATATTATGGAAAGAGAGGATTTGGGGGCTCTGTGCAACGGGGAGAAGTCTCAGTTGATGAGAAAGCTAGGATGGTTTACAGTAGTTCTAACGACTTGATCAACCTGTCATCAGACCACTATAAACCAAGCTTTATTCAGAAGTGAATCCATGCAACAGGTGACCAACAATAAGGGGAGTCTGAGAAAATAATGATAGCCTGGAGTAGAGATGTCATTCTGTGGGTATATGATAGATTTGTACTAAACTAGGGCTTACCTCACAAGTAACAGATATATAACTTCAACAATGAATGAATGAATGAATGAATGAATGATTACAAATCTGTTCTGCCCACTATTTCTGTAGGCCTACAGTACCCTCTCAGGGCTGCCCCATTTTGAGGTAATATTTTATTAAAATGTAATAACAACATGAGCACAAGGTTAAGGTCCACTTATAGGCATAAATGTATAACACACTGCGGTTACATTTAATGTGCACATGATATATTGTATCTTTAGACCCTAGCAGTGAACCTATTATAACATAACAGTATGGCTACAGTACAGAGTCTGCTGTTATGTAGCAAGTAGTGAGCATTCTGCCATTTCCCTCATAAAAACAGCTGATGCTGCCAATAACATTACCGATCCAACAATGCTCACAATATATAGGCCCGTACCGCGCAAATAATATTTGCCAATTGAAGATGTAGACTCACTGGTCAGTCTATTAGGTACACCTAATAGATTGCTCCTACAGACAGTGAGTCACATGGCTGTGGCTTGCTATCTAACACAGGCAGATAGGCATCCAGTTACTGTTTGATTGACCATTAGAATGGGCAAAACAAGCAACTTTGAAAGTGGTATGATTGTCGGTGCCAGGCGCACCGGATCCAGTATCTCAGAAACGGCCGCCGTCCTGGGCTTTTCACGCACGACAGTGTCTACGGTTTACAGAGAATGGTGAAAAAAAACTAAAAACATCCAGGCAGCGGCAGTCCTGTGGGTGAAAACAGCTTGTTGATGAGAGAGGTCAAAGGAGAATGGCAAGAATCGTGCAAGCTAACAAGCGGGCCGCAAACAGATCAATAACGGCACAGTACAACAGTGGTGTGCAGAACGGCATCTCAGAACTCACAACTCGTCGATCCTATTCACGGATGGGCTATTGCAGTAAGCGACCACACCAGGTTCTACTCCTATTCTCTAAAAATAAGAAGAAGCGGCTCCAGTGGGCACGCGATCACCAACACTGGACAATTGAGAAGTGGAAAAACATTGCCTTGTCTGACGAATCCCAGTTGCTGTTGCGTCATGCTGATGGCAGAATCAGGATTTGGCGTAAGCAGCATGAGTCCATGGACCCATCCTGCCTGGGGACAACAGTACAGGCTGGTGGCAGTGGTGTACTGGTGTGTGGAATCTTTCCTGGGACACGTTAGGTCACTTGATACCTATTGAGCAACGATTGAACACCACAGCGCATCTGAACATTGTTGCTGACCAAACCCAATAGTGCATCTTTGGAATGAGATGGAATGGGCTGTTGGCAGCATGAATGTACCGCTGTCCAATCTGCAGCAACTGTGTGATGCCATCACGTCAGCATGGACCAACATCCCTGTGGAATGTTAGCAACACCTTGTGGAATTCAGGCCCCAAAGAATTCAGGTTGTTCTGGAGGAAAAGGGGGGTCCGACCCGGTACTAGATGGGTGTACCTAATAAACTGGCAGGTGAATGTATACGTCAGTGTCTCGTGCACCTGCACTTGACTATAGGCTAATCTCAGGGAACGGAAAGGATCTTTACATGAGAAAAAAATTGGCTACAACCAAAACACAACATTTTTGTTGTAACCTTCTTGGCCGACCCTTACAATGCATTATTATAACTCAATCTGACCCATTTTCAAGCCATATTCCCTTTACGAGGGTCTTCCGCGGAGACTCAAACACTGCCACACCATATTTGGTCATATCGCGTCACTAAGTCTAGGCTACCCTCTAAACGTTTTAAGAAATCCCGGTTAAGATGATAAAACGCTTGCAACGTTGTATCAATCTAATCATTCGAAAGCAGGCAATACAATGTAACTCATTACAGTTCTACATCCAGTAGAACATTAGAAGTTGATAAGATAGAGGGCAAAATGTCATATCAACTACCTTTCCGAAAAAACATCGACAGCGCAGACTAGACAATCATGCAGCCAGTGAAATCACTGCTGGACCAAATCATTCGAAATAAAAGCAACTAAGACAAGCATATCATAAAACCCAAGACAGACAGACACTCCCCAGACATATGCATGGTTGATACAACTACCGAGTAATCAAGCTATTTTGCCAGTCTGGACCGGGTCCAGAAATCTCCTCCGTCTCTTATTTGGTCTGTTTGGTGATTGGCAAGCTCGCGTGACGAGAAGAAGCCGCATAATTTGATAAATTCACTATACTTACACATCAACCAGAGTATTGCGGGATTAGAAGAGAAGTAGTGGTGAATGTGTTGCACTGAGGTAGCTAGTATTCCGAATTCCTTTCCTCCCCTCCTGGGCTATCAATTTCTATCCCTGTCGATTTCAGACTATCAGCCTCTCTGTCTCTGCTCGTGCATCCTGCTAGCTCCCTCCAAGCCTCTCCTCGCGCTCCGTACAATAACAAAAGAGGGTAGATATCGTGCGCGTGAGTGTCTCGCCGAGCCCCAGCCAATGGGGTCTCCAGTCTCAAAGGGATGGCGGCTCTCAGCCAATAGTGATGCGGCTCTCACGATTTGGCCCCGGCCGAGGTCTGTCTGGGTCGCGTCTAGATTGACATATCAGCGCGACTGTTTTTTTAAAGTGGCGCCGCCGAGATTACCACGCCCCTCTGCTCAACCCACTCACCCCTCCCCGGCTCCACTTTGTCCGTCCTACTAATGACTAGTGGTGTGTGTTGTAGGCTACTACAACTAGGTCTACACAACGCCCCAAGTTTGATGACTATTGTATTATTTCTTATGTCGCTATTATTTTGCGCCACATTGACCCTAATTTGTTAACTCTAGGGTCAAGGACAAGTTACCATGGTGATGAATAGGGCAATTAGTACTCAATTTAAACACCTGTCTTCGGTAATACATTTGATCTACTGTGATACAATCTCAGTCACACAACTCTATATGAAGGGGTGTGATAACTTTTTTCTGCCTAACTTTCTAAATCAACCGTGTCCCCTCAAAGAGCCAGTACAATTCCATTTTAATTTACCATTTGTATGACATTTGTGATAAACAAATGCACTAGCGTGGCATATGTGAGTGCTACTACCTCTACCTGAGCCCCATGGCTTTGTGGTACAGGTTGTTAAATGATTGCTCCTGCACCGCAGGATCATAGATTCGAGCACTCCTTCAGCTTTTCTCTAAGTTACAATAGACAAAAGAGGTATAAGCATAAAAAACTACACGACGGTGAAACTAACTCTCCATTGAAAGTGCCATACATACCTGTCTGCACAAATTCTCTCAATGTTCAGGGAATTTCAGGGATATTCTAGAAAGTCAGGTCTGATCTGCAACACACACCAAGGGCCGTACAGTCAGTGTAAGATCTTCACTTTGTCTCAGCCTTTACCTCCATCTCTTTCTCTCTAACTACCCCAATTTAAGACGATGCCACCATAAAACTCAAACTCAGCCTCACCCAATCCATTTTTATAAATACCTCTTCCTCAAGACTTCCCCTATTGACCTTTGCCCCGCTCTCAAATCCCTCTCTCGCATTCCCTCCTACTCCAGCTCAAACCCAACGGGGTCACCTTCAACCTACCTTCTCTCGTTACAAAACATTCAGTATTGACATAGGAGGCAGACATACCTTGCATTTTACCGCTAATCCAATTATGCAGGAGGGCAATACCGAAGAAGGTATTCCGGTGAAGGACTTTTTAAAAAGAGAGGAGGAGCAATTCTAGCCCGGTCTTAGATTTGTTTGTGTCACTTCATTCTCAGTAAACCGTAGACACTGTCATGCGTGAAAAATCCAGGAGGGCAGCCATTTCTGAGATACTGGATCCGGCACGCAAGGCAACGATGATCATACCACGGTCCAAGTCGCTTAGGTCACTCGTTCTGCCCATTCTAACATTACATTTAACAGTAACTGAATGCCTCGATGCCTGTCTGCCTGCTTTATATAGCAAGCCACGGCCACATGACTCACCTGAATGGGGTGGTGTACCTAATAAACTGGCTGGTGAGTGTAGGTCAGATCTGAGTATCCTACAACGCTGTCTCTCTTGGCATAAAAACACATTACAATTATTTAAGTTCAGTATATCCACATAAACATAAGGTTTATATACCACACAGGCTTTGTTTGTGAGAAAGATGCTGTTGGTTGAGAATTGTGATTAGAATTACAGAGCAGAATTTGAATTACAGAGCAATCCCTCAAAATCACATTTTTTAAAGGTGTCCTTGAAGTTTACTGTTAAAATGCTTGAAAACAGTTGCTAGTAAGGATACTGACTTGCCACCATTCATCTTAAACTGTGCTACTGATCTGTCATCTTGAACCAATGAAAACTGCTTGCGTAAAACTTCAAAGTAAATATTTGGCTACTATAACACATTTCATTGTAGTCAGACCACTCCGCTGGAACTCAAATCATGTTATGGACTTGCTCTGATTGTCTATACACACATCATACGACCATATAATGACAGTAGTACTATGACCGTTTCCTTATACTAAAATGTATACACTAACAGAGTATTTGCACAATTCATAATATAGAGGACCGGAAAATGGTGATGCTTCTGTTTTATTCAATTGCACCTACTGAGTACAGACGTTGTCATTAACATGTTGTTTTGTATTGTTAAATATTACTGCACTGTCGGAGCTAGAAACATAAGCATTGTGCTGCAGCTGCGACAACATCTGCAAAATATGTGTACGCAACCAATATTATTTGATTAGATATCTAGAAAAAAGGTTTGACAAACCATATCAGGCAGCCGTGCATATCAGCTGCTGCTAGAAGCGTGAAACAGTGACGGCTCTGTTTCCGATAATTCCTTGCATCTTTTTTACTGCACTATATTGTATTGCCGGGTCTAGTTACTGAGTCCACAGTGACAAAAATACCTCACCCTAGAGAGTAACCGGTTCCATCAACTACATTTCTGTGGGCATAGCTGTGAATGGAATGCAGAGGCATCCATACACATATTCTGGAAAGAGAGGTGTTTGTAAAAATATGTTCGCCCAAAGCACTCCAGCGTGTAAACTCATATTTCCTTACATAAATTGAAGATCACCGTGTAGCTCAGTTGGTAGAGCATGGCGTTTGCAACGCCAGGGTTGTGGGTTTGTTTCCCACGGGGGACCAGTATGAAAAAAAATTAAAATGTATGAACTCTGTAAATCGCTCTGGATAAGAGCGTCTGCTAAATGACTAAAGTGTAAAATAACCAGCCTCCCATGGTTCTACACATAATCCTATTTGAGTTGCAATGTCTTTACATATTATATGAATTGTTTAATTAATTTTCATGAACTATGTGAAAATAGTGTGACAAGGTTTTGATTGGCAAGCCTTAGTCAAACAGTGTCATGTGTTAAGGATGAACCATGCCCTCTTGTGGCCATAGCAAAGCAGTACATATATGCAATGGTGAAAAGCATGACTTCAGATGGCATTCAAAAATATATATACATATATTTGCAATTCTGATTTTAGCTTGCACAATCTTAAAATTGTATCAAGTTGTGTCCGTTTTTGAAGCAAAGCACCCCTGATTCTAATTGCCTTTGGCTTATTGTAAATGAGTAGTTTATGACTATACAAGATATGTACACGTTGATACAATAGCACAAAGCAGAGGTGAGGTTGGGGTTTCAGCAGGTAAACTGAGTATAGCCTTAGACTGTGAGAATGGAAAGGAAAATTCCCCCCACTCTCACTGATGCAGTGGTACATCCCACCTGGGTGGAGAGTAGGCTTGGGCGATATACTGTATTTGAAATACAGATGGTATGATTTCCAATGCCATCTGCTACGCCACTGCTTATAAATATAAGATGGCTAGATCAAGCTTCTTGGTAACAGCAGAGAATCAATCCCTACTGGATCAAGATCTCTGCTGTCTAATATTAGTTTTGTACGTGCAGCAAACTGTGAGTAGCCTTTTGAGATGGTTGTCTGTCCTTGCAATTAGTTTATGTTCGCTTGCGCTTGTTAGCAATTCACTAGTAATTTGTTAGCATTTGTTGGAACCCCAACCTCCCCAAAATATATATATATATATACATGTTTTACATTTTGAAAAGAAATAGCGCCCCTTGTGCACACTGACGGTAATACCGTATACCCCGGTATGAAGGTATGAACATCTGGATACCACCCAACCCCAGTGGAAAGTTGAATGTGAAAACTTTATTAAGTCCAGGACACAGGCAGACAAGCTGTGTTGTTTTTAAGCAGTTTGTTCCAGGCTGAGGAGTGGGGCTGTGGTCATGGTTTACTAGGCGACCGAGGAGTGAACGCTCCAGAGGTCTCCAGCATGGTCTTTCGACGCGCCGTCTCCTTGGCGACGTTGTGATTGAGCCGTCGCAGCCGTTCCTAGAGAGAGGGAGAAAGAGTGAAATTCAAGTGAGCATTGAATGTTGAAAGTCAGTAGCTTGAAATAATATACCACCTGAGTGGCTAGCAGAGCTGCATGAATTCAAAATGCACAGACAAAGCAGAATTGCCATGCCCATTGGAATTGAACAAACACAAATTTCATCCACATATTTAATGTATAGATAGATACATGGGATATACAGTCGTGGTCAAAAGTTGAGAATGACACAAGTATTGGTCTTCACAAAGTTCGCTGCTTCAGTGTTATGAGATATTTTTGTCAGATGTTACTATGGTATACTGAAGTATAATTACAAGCATTCCATAAGTGTCAAAGACTTTTATTGACAATTACATTAAGTTTATGCAAAGAGTCAATATCTGCAGTGTTGACCCTTCTTTTTCAAGACCTCTGCAATCCACCCTGGCATGCTGTCAATTAACTTCTGGGCCACATCCTGACTGATGGCAGCCCATTCTTGCATAATCAATGATTGGAGTTTATCAGAATTTGTGGGTTTTTGTTTGTCCACCCGCCTCTTGAGGATTGACCACAAGTTTTCAATGGGATTAAGGTCTGGGGAGTTTCCTGGCCATGGACCCAAAATGTAGATGTTTTGTTCCCTGAGCCACTTACAGTGGGGAAAAAAAGTATTTAGTCAGCCACCAATTGTGCATGTTCTCCCACTTAAAAAGATGAGAGAGGCCTGTAATTTTCATCATAGGTACACGTCAACTATGACAGACAAATTTAAGTATTTGGTCACCTACAAACAAGCAAGATTTCTGGCTCTCACAGACCTGTAACTTCTTCTTTAAGAGGCTCCTCTGTCCTCCACTCGTTACCTGTATTAATGGCACCTGTTTGAACTTGTTATCAGTATAAAAGACACCTGTCCACAACCTCAAACAGTCACACTCCAAACTCCACTATGGCCAAGACCAAAGAGCTGTCAAAGGACACCAGAAACAAAATTGTAGACCTGCACCAGGCTGGGAAGACTGAATCTGCAATAGGTAAGCAGCTTGGTTTGAAGAAATCAACTGTGGGAGCAATTATTAGGAAATGGAAGACATACAAGACCACTGATAATCTCCCTCGATCTGGGGCTCCACGCAAGATCTCACCCCGTGGGGTCAAAATGATCAGAAGAACGGTGAGCAAAAATCCCAGAACCACACAGGGGGGACCTAGTGAATGACCTGCAGAGAGCTGGGACCAAAGTAACAAAGCCTACCATCAGTAACACACTACGCCGCCAGGGACTCAAATCCTGCAGTGCCAGACGTGTCCCCCTGCTTAAGCCAGTACATGTCCAGGCCCGTCTGAAGTTTGCTAGAGTGCATTTGGATGATCCAGAAGAGGATTGGGAGAATGTCATATGGTCAGATGAAACCAAAATATAACTTTTTGGTAAAAACTAAACTCGTCGTGTTTGGAGGACAAAGAATGCTGAGTTGCATCCAAAGAACACCATACCTACTGTGAAGCATGGGGGTGGAAACATCATGCTTTGGGGCTGTTTTTCTGCAAAGGGACCAGGACGACTAATCCGTGTAAAGGAAAGAATGAATGGGGCCATGTATCGTGAGATTTTGAGTGAAAACCTCCTTCCATCAGCAAGGGCATTGAAGATGAAACGTGGCTGGGTCTTTCAGCATGACAATGATCCCAAACACACCGCCCGGGCAACGAAGGAGTGGCTTCGTAAGAAGCATTTCAATGTCCTGGAGTGGCCTAGCCAGTCTCCAGATCTCAACCCCATAGAAAATCTTTGGAGGGAGTTGAAAGTCCGTGTTGCCCAGCGACAGCCACAAAACATCACTGCTCTAGAGGAGATCTGCATGGAGGAATGGGCCAAAATACCAGCAACAGTGTGTGAAAACCTTGTGAAGACTTACAGAAAACGTTTGACCTGTGTCATTGCCAACAAAGGGTATATAACAAAGTATTGAGAAACTTTTGTTATTGACCAAATACTTATTTTCCACCATAATTTGCAAATAAATTCATTAAAAATCCTACAATGTGATTTTCTGGATTTTTTTCCCTCATTTTGTCTGTCATAGTTGACGTGTACCTATGATGAAAATTACAGGCCTCTCTCATCTTTTTAAGTGGGAGAACTTGCACAATTGGTGGCTGACTAAATACTTTTTTCCCCCACTGTAGTTATCACTTTTGCCTTATGGCAAGGTGCTCCATCATGCTAGAGAAGGCATTGGTTGTAACCAAACTGTTCTTGGATGGTTGGGAGAAGTTGCTCTCGGAGGATGTGTTGGTACCATTCTTTAATCATGGCTGTGTTCTTAGGCAAAATTGTGAGTGAGCCCACTCCCTTGGCTGAGAAGCAACCCCACACATGAATGGTCTCAGGATGCTTTACTGTTGGCATGACACAGGACTGATGGTAGCGCTCACCTTGTCTTCTCCGGACAAGGTGTTTTCCGGATGCCCCAAACAATCGGAAAGGGAATTCATCAGAGAAAATGACTTTACCCCAGTCCTCAGCAGTCCAATCCCTGTACCTTTTGCAGAATATCAGTCTGTCCCTGGAGAGAAGTGGCTTCTTTGCTGCCCTTCTTGACACCAGGCCATCCACCAAAAGTCTTCGCCTCACTGTGCGTGCAGATGCACTCACACCTGCCTGCTGCCATTCCCGAGCAAGCTCTGCACTGGTGGTGCCCCGATCCCGCAGCTGAATCAACTTTAGGAGACGGTCCTGGCGCTTGCTGGACTTTCTTGGGCGCCCTGACGCCTTCTTCACAACAATTGAACCTCTCTCCTTGAAGTTCTTGATGATCCGATAAATGGTTGATTTAGGTGCAATCTTACTAGCAACAATATCCTTGCCTGTGAAGCCCTTTTTGTGCAAAGCAATGATGACGGCACGTGTTTCCTTGAAGGTAACCATGGTTAACAGAGGAAGAACAATGATTTTAAGCACCACCCTCCTTTTAAAGCTTCCAGTCTGTTATTCTAACTCAATCAGCATGACAGAGTGATCTCCAGCCTTGTCCTCATCAACTCTCACCTGTGTTAACGAGAGAATCACTGACATGATGGCAGCTGGTCCTTTTGTGGCAGGGCTGAAATGCAGTGGAAATGTTTTTTTGGGTTTAAGTTCATTTTCATGGCAAAGAGGGACAATTAATTGCAATTCATCTGATCACTCTTCATGACATTCTGGAGGATATGCAAATTGCCATCATCAAAACTGAGGCTGCAGACTTGAAAATTAGTATCCGTGTCATTCTCAAAACTTTGACCACGACTGTACACTAAGACAATGAATTTGTTAGGTAAAAGGACAGGAGTAAAAGAAGGCCCACAAAATAGGTCAGGCAAAGAAGAAAGAAAGCATCCAAGCTCTTGCTTTGAGTCACTGACCTGTGCATTCTGTAGTATGTTGTTGACCAGCACCACCCTGCGTCTCGCATTCAGCAGCTTTTTCACATAGGGGTCCAGGTCTAGCACCACCTTCTGGTGTTCATTTATCCTGCACAACTCTAAAAATGAATGGATAAGCTGAGGATGACCGACAGGATGGTTTGGCTAATCATAAAGAAAATGGATAAAAGACAGCAGCCATTTTGGTAAGGTATTCAGCTCTCGCTCATGCCTTCAATTGTAGGTTTGATTCTGTATATAATTAAAAGCAAAACAAAAATATGATCTCATGAAAAGCACAGGTTCTGAAGAAAGGATATACCTCTTTCGATTGAATTACCCCCAGGCAGCACATGACCTTGTAGAAGCCTTACACGTGAGCTTCTAAATCTGTGGTTGTACAGATCACATCACAGCAGCATCTGCCTGTCTCATACAGTGGTTTTCATGGGCTTGGCTATGGGCTTTCTTTCACAGGGTCAAGTGCTTTAACCTGGCACGCCTCCACTTCCCTGTTCCCCCAGGAGGGCATAATAAGCATGTAAAAATAAATAATTTTACCTGTGGCTAGATTGTCTATGTGTTCTCGTAGTTCCACCTGGCTTTCCCTATAACAAGAAAACACAATAGCATTATTTATAGAGAAAAATCGTAAAGTAACAATCAGTACTACTACAACAGACAGAGAGTGGTTACAGCAGACTATATTGACATCTGTAGCGTAGGCCTACTTGGGCTACAGCAAGTAACAAAGTAATGAGGAAAGGAGACATTCAGAATGTCCCTCCCTAAAAAAAGTGACTTTTCATGGCAGGTTAGGAGAGCATTTTCTCTAACCCTAACCCTTTCCTAACCTTAGCCTAATTCTCCTAACCTGCTACGTTAATTATCCTAACCTGCTGCGTAAGCTCTCTTAACCTGCTATGAAAAAGTCTTAGCTGAGCCATCAACACAGAGAATAGTGAGGCACTGGACACAGGAGGCAGACTTAATGCTGCAGGACTGTTTTGAGTATACTGATTGGAATATGTTCAAAGATTAATCAATAATATATTATTATTATATTATAATCCACCCAGGACTCATCCATCAACGTTGAGGAATATACATCGTCAGTCACAGGCTTCATTAGGAAATGTGTTGATGGTGTTGTACCCACAATAACAATCTGGACATACCCCAACCAAAAACCCTGGATGAACGGAGATATCCGTACCATGCTGAGAGCCTGTACTGCAGCATTCAATGTCAGTAGAACGAACCCCGATGACTCGATGGTGTACAACATGTACAAGGCAAGCAGGTACGAGCTCCGCAAATCCATTAGGGACGCAAAAAGACAACACAGACTCAAACTTCAATATATGTTCGACAACTCAGACTCGCAACACATGTGGCAAGGATTACAGACTATCACGGACTACAAAGACAAATCCAGCTGTGTAGTGCCCACTGGAGCCTCCCTCCCAGACGAGCTTAACACGTTCTATACTCGCTTTGAGGCAGACAATACCGAGCCATTCAGGAAGACTCTCACTGCTTCGGAGGACCAGGTGCTTTCGCTCTCCTAGAAAATTCACAAAAGAGTGAAAACTCACAAAGCCGCTGGCCCAGATGGCATCGCCGGCCCAGATGGCATCCCCAGCCGCTTCCTCAGAGTGTGTGCTGAAAAGCTGGCGAGAGTCTTCTCAGACATCTTCAACCTGTCCCTGTCTGTAGTCCCCACCTGCTTCAAGGAGACCATCATCCCAGTGCCCAAGAAAAACAAGGTTACATGAAAATCGCCCTGTCGCACTCACCACGGTCATCATGAAGTGCTTCGAGAGGCTGGTCATGGCCCACATCAAGGCCAGCATGCCAGGCACACTGGACCCACTCCAATTTTCCTACCGCTTCAACAGATCCACGGAAGATGCCATTTCCATCGCTATTCACACGGCCGTATCACATCTGGACAAGGGGAACACCTATGTGAGAATGCCGTTCAGTGACTACAGTTCAGCATTCAACACTATTGTTCCCTCCAAGCTCGACACCAAGCTCAGAGCCCTGGGTCTGGACACCACCCTCTGCAACTGGATCCTGGACTTCCTGATGGGCAGACCACAGGCTGTGAGGATTGGCAACAACACCTCCTCCACACTGACTCTTAACACAGGTGCCACCCAGGGGTGTCTCCTCAGCCCTCTGCTGTACTCCATGTTCACCCACGACTGCTGACGACGCCACGGTTGTAGGACGAGTCAGCCTATAGGGAGGAGGTAAGTGAACTGGCATTCTGGTGCTAGGACAACAACCTCTCCCTCAACGTCAGCAAAACAAAGGAGTTGATTGTTGACTTCAGGAAGAAGAGGAGGGAACATGCCCCAATCCACATCAACGGGATAGCAGTAGAGAGTCAGTAGTTTTCAGTTCCTCTGCGTCCACATCACCGAGGTCTTGACATGGACCAACAACATCACCACTCTTGTCAAGAGGGCACAACGGCGTCTCTACTTCCTAAGGCGGCTGAAGATTTTCGGCATGCCACCCCGGGTCCTCTCCAAATACTACCAGTGCACCATCGAGAGCGTCCTGACCGGTTGTATCACGGCCTGGTACAGGAATTGCTCCTTCCACGACCGCAAGGCCCTCCAGTGGGTGGTGAAGACGGCCCAGTACATCACTGGGACCGTGCTCCTACCCATCCAGGACATCCTCCTGTGCCTGAGGAAGGCCTGCAGCATCATCAAGGACCCCACACACCCCAGCCACGAGCTGTTCACTCCCTTACTGTCGGGCGGACGGTATCGGAACATGAGGTCTGATACCAACAGGCTCAGAGACAGTTTCTATCTACAAGCCATCAGACTGCTGAACACTTGAACTGGACTGACCACCTGCTCTGATTCTCCGCACGTTAGCACACTCTATCATGCACACAGCCACACACACACACACACACACACACACACACACACACACACCACACATGCTACAACCAGACTATTATTATAGTTGCTAAATACTGCACAATTTAAACACTTGTCCCCCAATCCCCACTTCCCCAAATGTTGGAATATAAATTGTGCCTTCCTGTATTATACATATGCTCAAATGTTTTTCTATTCTACTGAGCCATTTTCTTTGTGTTCGTATTCTTATCTTTGATCATTTCTTATTGTTGTTGCATTTTCGAGAAGGAACCTGCAAGTAACTGTAAGCCCCTGTAAAGACTGGGTTTAGTTTATTATGTGTGTGGCAATGCTCATGTCCGTGTTCTGGAACTGCCTGCGTCTCCGTACAGAACTGTCCGTGTCCACGTATGGTGTGGCGTGAAGTCAATTGGGTGGGTACACGGGAGTTGGACTGAGGTGATCTTGGGGAACAACGACGGATTTCGCTAGAGTGTTGAGACACTCAAGTTTATTGTTCAATTTGATTTTTGTTTAATAGTCAGGGGCAGTATGAGTGTAGCCAGCTCCTTTTCACTCACTATTCTTGTTTAATTTTGTGGTTCACCGGATTGGTCATCATCCTCGAGGGACAGTCGAACGACCTGCTGGCTAGCCAAGCTAGCCGGTACAGCTACCTAAGCAGCTAGCTAGAGATCCTACCACTACATCATCACCGGCTACCTGCAGTTGTTGTGCAAGTTATCTCTCGGCACCGATGGAGCTCCCTGGTTGTTTCTTTCACCTGTTAAATCCTGTGCTGGGCTTGGCCCTCTCGTTGACGGATGCTGGCTACCTACGCTCCCTCTGTCCGGTTCCCCTCTCTTCACTGGATGGGTGGTAATTTTAAAATGTTTAACCTCTCCGTGTCCAAGGACAAGGGCCGAACTTCTTAATATTATTTTTGGGGCACCCCAAGGTTTTTATTGTTTGTAAAACGTTAGTATTGTTTTTACTTTACTATCTACCGGCTTTTAGGTATATATTCTGGTACTAGTTTCGAACTAGCTTTTATTAGGTCCAGTATTATTCTGTGGTACTCCGTGGCTCATTGTTCTTTGTGATAATTGCTGTGTCTTAATTTTTTTTACTTTTACATTCTAATCTATTTTTGACCATTATCTTTAGTTTTAATAATTTCCACTGACGTGGAGGAAAAAGGTAATTGTGTTTGCCACTGTGTGGGTGTATCATATAGTTTCCTAATTAGCTAGTTATAACCTTTCACATCTTTATGCTTATTAGGTGGAGGCACAGCATTATTCTATACATGGTACATATACAGTCTTATGGTATATCGTATCCCTGTAACCAGATGGGATGGCATATCGCTGCAGAATGCTGTGGTTGCCATGCTGGTTAAGTGTGCATTGAATTCTAAATAAATCACAGACAGTGTCACCAGCAAACACCCCCACACCATCACACCTCCTCCTCCATGCTTCACGGTGGGAACCACACATGCGGAGATCATCCGTTCACCTACTCTGCGTCTCACAAAGACACGGCGGTTGGAACCAAAAATCTAACATTTGGACTCATCAGACCAAAAGACAGATTTCCACCGGTGTAATGTCCATTGCTCGTGTTTCTTGGCCCAAGAAAATCTCTTCTTCTTATTGGTGTCCTTTAGTAGTGGTTTCTTTGCAGCAATTCAACCATGAAGGCCTGATTCACGCAGTCTCCTCTGAACAGTTGATGTTGAGATGTGTCTGTTACTTGAACTCTGTGGAACATTTATTTGGGCTGCAATCTGAGGTGCAGTTAACTCTAATGAACTTATCCTCTGCAGCAGAGGTAACTCTGGGTCTTCCTTACCTGTGGCGGTCCTCATGAGAGCCAGTTTCATCATAGCGCTTGATGGTTTTTGCGACTGCACTTGAAGAAACTTTCAAAGTCCTTGAAATGTTCGTATTGACTGACCTTCATGTCTTAAAGTAATGATGGACTGTTGTTTCTCTTTGCTTATTTGAGCTGTTCTTGCCATAATATGGACTTGGTATTTTACTAAATAGGGCTATCTTCTGTATACCCCCCCTACCTTGTCACAACACAACTGAATGGCTCAAACGCATTAAAAAGGAAAGAAATTCCACAAATTAACTTTTAACAAGGCACACCTGTTAATTGAAACATATTCCAGGTGACTACCTCATGAAGCTGGTTGAGAGAATGCCAAGAGTGTGCAAAGCTGTCATCAAGGCAAAGGGTGGCTACTTTGAAGAACCTCAAATATAAAATATATTTTGATTTGTTTAACACTTTTTTGTTTACTACATGATTCCATGTGTTATTTCATAGTTTTGATGTCTTCACTATTATTCTACAATGTAGAAAATAGTAAAAAAATAAAGAAAGACCCTTGAATGAGTAGGTGTGTCCAAACTTTTGACTGCTACTAATATATATATATATATATATATATATATATATATATATATATATATATATACACACACATACACATGCCCACCCTGATAGAACCCAGGTCTTCTCTCTCTATCAGTACTTGCCTAGTTAAAGTCATAACAATGCTGCCTGAAGAAAGAGGGGTCACATAAGCATTTTGTTGGCCGGTGTATACCATGTACATACAACTAATAAAACTTGAAACTGTATCGAGGTGGCATGTTTTTAGGGAATCTCTGTCCCTAATAACCAACGCTGCATTCACGTGCTAGTCGGAACTAGGAAACTCTGAAATTTCAGACTTGCTAACTGGTTGTAGTTATGGAGCTCGCTAGCTTGTAGTCCTAAAACCTGGAATGAGTTAGCTCTGGTTCATTCAGCCATCCCTATGGGAACAATTAATGGGGAAAGAATTGGGTTTTGGAATAAATGCATTTTGTTCTATGAGATAGCAGTCAGTTAGCATGACCTTTATGAATTATGAAGCCTTTATGTGCTTAATGTGTTTTTTTTTATAACATACATTTTTTAATTCACAAAAAGTGACGTTAGCTGTTGAAGATTATAATAGACTAATAGAACAAAACGTATAAGATCTTGTAAGCCGTTTGACCACAGACCTTATTTTCGTCGTTTATCCAAAAACGCCATTCATTTTCTCCATAGGCTTTGTCCAACAAACCATGCCGGAGATAGTGCCTACAAAAAGACGCCATTACTATTTCTCTACACGTGCTGCGTTCAACCAGTTAGCAAGTCGGACATTTCCCAGTTTTCTTGTTCCGACTAGCATGTGAACGCGGCATTACTAGGACGAAGAGGGAGGAGGGACTGTCATGACGATGTGATTAGCTTTCAAAACACCTGGGAACTCGGGCCTCTTTCTAGAACACGGACTTTAAACCCTAAAGATCACTGACGTCATGGTTTTTTTCCCGGAGTTCTCAGTTGTCTTGAACACATCATATGTGATAGCAAGCTAGCTAGCTGTGAATGGGAGCAGTATCTAGCAAGCACATTTGAAGTCGAAGCACATATCTTGCTACCCACCTCACTGAGTGTACATGAAGATCAAGCTGCTGGACAGCTGGTTTCAAGAGGTCAAGCAGTCCTTCTGCAATTGCATCTTTCCCGGACGGTGTCTCCACCACAGCTAGGGCAGCCATTTCTCTTCCTGAAACAGAAGTGACAACAACAACAAACGTAAACCACTCCAGGAAGTAACTCTGTGACGTAGCAATAAAACCTCTCAATTTCCCTCATTTTGCGTCAGTTAGAACCATTTTGTAAGGAAGGAAGGGAGAGAGAGAGGGATAACAGACTGTCTTCAGTTTTTATATATATATTTTTTTAGCAAATACTGTTTTAATCATTATAGCTAGCTAGTATAGTTCGTATTTTAATAGTATCCGAAAGAAAATATAAAGTAAGAAGTGGATCCAGATCTGTTGGTTGCAAATAGTTAAGCTGCTAGCTAACTCGTAACTGGTTCATCGCTCAAGTTAACGAAGATAACTAGCGCAGCTAGTAGTTAGCTTGCTAGCCAGCCAAGTGATACACGAGCATTGGCATAACAAGCAACGATCAAAGTAAGTTTCTACCAATAATCGTCTACTGAACATGTTTCAGACAATGTTTACTTTTAAAATAGTTTATAGCTAGTTAGTTAGCTAACGTTATCTACGTTGACTAATAATGTTCAGGCTCGATAGGGACGCCAGCCCAACGTTAGCTCACACTGCAGGTTACTTTTTTGTTGCTCACAGGCTACTTAGCTAGATAACGTGAATTAACTACCGTGACTAGTTAGTTTTCGTAGTTGTTCCGTCTCTCGTTTATCATTCAAAAGCATTGAAGTCGACTCATGTGGTACATTTGCTTTCTTAATAACTTGACGTGTATGTTGTGCCTGCAGTGTCCACGATAGGTTTATTTCGAGCCCGTGGCGTGGCCCTTTTGTGTATTTTCTTCAAATTATGCATCCAATAGTTTGCTAATGCTAACTAACTAGCTGTATACCACAACTAGCCAAACGCTAGCTATCTACTAACAAACCTGACCATTTTGCCAGCTAAATATAATGTATTATTATAAAACGAGTTAGTTACGCACAGATGAAATGGCCAATACGGGTGTATTTCCATCTCCTTGCTCGTGAAATAGTTTTTCTAACCTTCTCCCCCCTCCCTTACACCTCCCAATTTGACCTATCTCTCCCTCTCTTGTCTGTTGCTTGTTCCAAGGAGTTCCAGTGAAGTCAAAATGAGTGCTCCCTCCTCCCAAAAAGTTGTGTTGAAAAGCACCACCAAGCAGTCCCTGAATGAGCGGTGAGACGCACTACGCACCCTGACAGCACTAAGCGAGGCGAAGGGCGAAACAGTGGTACAGACGGCCCTAGTGTGCTCTACTACGGAAGGCCACTGTTGGGGACCTGCCCAGACATGGACGCTAGACTGCTCGGGGCCGACGTGTGCGCCGCTCACTCAAAATGCATGCCGTATTCAGCATTTGCTGACAAAAAGTTTGACGAACAGAGTGCAAACGTTGTGCTCCTGGCCAACCTTTTGTGTGAGCAGCGCACACTTAGACCCAAGGAGAGAGGGTAACGGTGATGCTTGGTAAGGCGACTGTCCTAGAATGGGCACAGGCCGCACTCCTGATATGCCCCGGCACTCCTCCTCTCTCAAAATATAGTGTACGTATGGGAGAGGAGAGACCAAACCGCTCCTCTCCCACCCTCTCTCTACACACACAACTCTCTCTCAACTAAATTACTGTTTGTTTAGCCATTTGTCTCCTCTTCCTCTCTTCTTTGCTATCACTTTAATTTTCGGTTCTCTGTGCTCTGATGTCTTTCTGTAAGACTAGGTGCCCAGTCCTAGCCCGGACGTGACCCCCCCCCCCCTTTCCTTGCTATTCTCACATGTGTGGTGTGAGCACAAGGCACGGTCCGGGCTGTAAGTGGCTGGGTTGCCAGATACCCCTCCAGTCCTGGGCCTCCAACCTCCGCCAGGCCTTTTTCGCAGGCGGATGACATCAAAACAAGGTGGCGGGAGGCCTGTAAGTGGCAGTCACTCTCCTCTCTTGTCGTCCACTTTCCTTTCTCTCATTTTCTCCATCTGTTCCAGTGTTTCTTCTACTGCTTTTCTATCCATCTTTCTACTTTGTTTTACCTTAACATAAAATGTGCTGAATTGCTTCCAAAATACATTTTGGGTTGTCAAATACTTAACAATGAGAGAGAGAAACAAAGAGAGTGAGGTGCCAACAAGTGGGGCATTCATAACACACACCACAGCTCCTGTGGCTGTGTCCTTGGTATGAGAAATGACTTGATTTGGAACCCTCCCTCCCCCTCCGTATCCTCTTTCTCCTCCTCTTCCCCCTTATGTCCCGCTCCCCCTCCCCTCCAAAGCTTCACTACCATGCTGAAGAACAAGGCGCCGACAGCGGTGAGTGTGCGAGCCACCATGCAGCAGCAACAAATGGCCAGTGCCCGCAACCGCCGCCTCGCCCAGCAGATGGAGAACAGGCCCTCTGTGCAGGCCGCTCTGCACCACAAGCAGGTGAGACAAGGTGCTCCATGTCATTTGGTCTTTCTTCAATTCCTCAATTTACTTATCAACAGTATTGGCGGAGACGGTCCAAGTCCGTTCCCTCTGACCTTATTCTCCAATGCATTTTGAGGAGGAATCGAGGAAAGATGAATTGAGAAAGAGACAAATGGGGAGAAGCCCTGTAAATGGGTGAGAAGGAGAGAGGAATGGGACACCGGAAACAGGACATGTTCTACAAAAGTGTAAGATTGGGAATGGGAAAAAAGTCTATACACTTGAAATCACTAGATATTAGGAACTTGAAATGCTTGACGGAGACGTAGTAAGAGAAGGGACCATGGAGCAAAGGTTAATATACAGATCACATAAGTGCCTCACCACCTCCCTATTCATGCCACTTGGTATCAACCTTCCACCTAACCCTGCCAGAGCCTGAAGCAGCGCCTGGGGAAGAGCAACATCCAGGCCAGGCTGGGCCGGCCCATCGGGGCTTTAATGCGGGGGGCCACTGGAGGCCGGGGATTTTCCGTTGGAGGGATGCGGGGGATGACCAGAGGAGGTCTGCGAGGCCGCGGCAGAGGAGGAGCCCTGAGGGGAGCTATGGCTCTGAGAGGTGAGCATTTGGTACCACACAGCAAAGTCTACTTGGATTGATATTTTGCTACTATGTTAGTCCTGACAATGTTGGCTTCATAAATTGTTAATAGACATACGGCAAGATTTTATGATTTGTCTTAAATGTTCTACTCTGGGGCTGGAATATACTTTTCACAGCTTTTGTAGGCCTCATACTTTTTTGCATAGGGGGAAAGGCAAACGTTGTTATTTTAAGGGATGAGCAAATGCCCCCTGCTGAGTTGAATGGAATACCCCAGCTGTCAGTCCAGGTGGAGCTGTCAATCAGAGTATGGCTTCACCCCCTGGTTTAGTATCCATCCCCTCAACCTGAGGGAATGTGGCTGTCAATCATCATGTAACTCCACTCTCCATAAACCCCCTGCTGTCCTGATTGGCCCGGCATCTTGGCAACTTTTGTGCTTCTGAACATGTGGTGACGGATCTAACAGCTGCACTGTCCCTACTTATCCACGCACTGTCACCCCACACCCATTTCTACACACTCCTGGTGGAGGGGATTGGATTTTAGACTGCAGTTTTTTTTATTTATTACGCTAATACTTCACATGAAATTAATTTAAATAATCCTGATGTCTACACTTGGCTTTAATTTATCAAGGTTTAGAATGTGATTCGAGAGAATACATGGGCAAGCCACCCAGCAAACACCTCAAACCTGTCTGTCAAGGCTAACGTAAAACAAGATGGAGTACAGATGTGTAACCACATTTCCCCCCCCCCCTCATAGAATTTGAATACTTTAGCTGCTATAGTTAGGTGTGTTGGTGGTGGAGATGTGGGTGAGTGATAGGCTTGTAAAATGTTTTTGTATTCACTTGACAACTTTGTTCTTAAACTGAAATGTGATAAGTTAACATTTAGGAATTGAACTATCAACCTTCAACTAAGTCACTAGTTAACTGCTCCTTTATTTCATCCTGTGTCCTGATAGGGAATCGCCTTGCCCCAGGCATGGGCCAGATGCGTGGCAGAGGGGGTCCAGGCCGGGTGGCCCACCGTAGGGGGATGCGTCAGAGAGGAGGGGTTGCTGGTCGTGGAGGTGCCTTCGGCAGAGGAGCTGGAAGAGGAGTGGGAGCCAGGGGTATGGAACTGGATTTTGAGTTGGGATTAATTTAATCTGTATATTGACACGTCACAATCTACCTCAAGTTTCTTGTTTACATGAACACTTGTGCAGCAACCTTTTTGTGAATGCGTTGTTGACCACCATCTCCCTCCCTCCAGGACGAGGCGGTCTGCTAGGGCGCGGTGGCTTCGCCGGCAGGGGTGTTGGCCGCGGTCGTGGGGGTGGAAGAGGAGGCCGGGGTAGAGGAGGTGGCCCAGGGATGACCCGCGAGCAGCTGGACAACCAGCTTGACGCCTACATGTCCAAGACCAAGGGCAACCTGGACGCTGAGCTGGACGCGTACATGGCCCAGGCTGACCCAGAGGGCATGGAGTGAACCAGGACCTCCACCACAAGAGAGCAGGGACTCCTTCAACAGGCCCATACTGAGAGAGTACTGATAACATGATGACATGGAGAGAAGCTTGTATAGTGCTATTACACCACACAAACGTAATGATAAACGCACATACGTAGACTCGGAGTGCACTGTCTCACACTACATGTCTAAAATTGTTGATGTGATCACAACCTCAGGCTTAAATATGAAACTTGCACACTCACTGACACACATGCATACAAACACACTCATTCTAAAATTGTGGGCCTATGAAGAGAACTGTTTGTAAAGGACTGTTTCCCTGAATCTGGATTTGACCATTCTCAGTATCAATGCAAAGTAGACACACCTGCAATTTTAAACCCTTTTCCTGTATGTGCAAGTGTGCATGAAGTACGCAAATATCTTTAAAACTTGAATGGACGACACTGACTACACTAGAGACTTGAATAACCAATGTTATCAATGCTCCTGAAAGGCCTGCATTTTGGACCAGAATCTCTCCCGGCAGAATCTGTTTTGAAACTGAATTCGACTATTACCGAACTTTGCATCTATATCCATATGGTTAAAAGTGCTTCGTTTTTAGGGAATGAACCATGCGCCATAATCATGTCCAACTAGCATCCACTTCTCATATTTTGTAATCCTATTTTTTACTACCATGTTTTTGTTAGGATTTGTATTTAGTAATGGATTCTCCTTTTATTGTTTTAGCAGTAGTGTACAACGACTTGACTCTCGGGTTTAAAAAAAATGTGAAAGAAAATGACCAGGGGAATTCTAGAGAAATCATTAAATTAAGCTTTGCTTCTGGAGAATTGAAGTATGTTGATGTCTTCAGTTGAAACTCCCCTAACAGCATTTATAGATGCTAGACATACCAAATAAGCAACTACACAAGGAGGTGCAAAATATTTCCATCAAGTTGCAAATGTGTGCGAGTGGTCTTCCCTCCTGGTGTCAATTGTATTTATTTGAAATGGTCTTTAAAAAACTGTGGTTGTTGTACACAACACTCCAATGAAGTGAGTGAAAATGTTTTCAGATTGTGTCCATCTGGATGAAACTATCTAAACTCCAATTGCTATGTAATTCCCTCTCCTTCTACCTGGTTAATGTCATAGAATAGAGAATAAACGTTATATTGTCATCTTATCTTAACATAGTAGTTGTTGATGTATGAGTATTGGTTCCATCATTTATTTTCCCAAGACTAATACACCATATACGCTCACCCCCCCCCCCCCCTTCACGAAAATGGATCGCTCCTACAGCGAGCTTGGCACGCACGACAGTGTCTAGGGTTTACCGAGAATGCTTGTTGCTGAAAGAGGTCGAAGGAGAATGGCAAGAATCATGCAAGCTGACAGGCGGCCCACAAACAGACACAATTATTTGTAGAGGACATAAGTACAAGTTAATTCTACTTATGATCTATCAATGTCTGTTTGATATGTTGGTAAAACTTTACCATAATTTTCTCTATAGCTGTAGCAATTGTAATCACTATAGTACAACATTGCATTATAGTTGAGATTAGCATTTTTTTGTGTTCTTGATGAACACAGTCCCTATTCACTTGTGTAATTCAAATGGCTCAACTCATAGCTTAATCACACAGCAATTCCTATGTATACTGAACAAAAATATAAATGCAACATGCAACAATTTCAAAGATTTTATTGAGTTACAGTTCATATAATAAAATCAGTGAATTGCAATAAATTCATTAGGCCCTAATCTATGGATTTCACATGACTGAGAATACAGATATGCATCTATTGGTCACAGATACTTAAAAAAAAAAAAAAAAACTGGTAGGGGCATGAAAACCAGTCAGGATCTGGTGTGACCATTTGCCTCATGCAGCGTGTGGAATGTTGTCCCACTCCTCTTCAATGGCTGTGTGAAGTTGCTGGATATTGGCGGGAACTGCAACACGCTGTCATACATGTCTATCCAGAGCATCCTAAACATGCTCAATGGGTGACATGTCTGGTGAGTATGCAGGCCATGGAAGGACTGGGACATTTTCAGCTCCCAGGAATTGTGTACAGATGCTTGCGACATGGGGCCGTGCATTATCATACTGAAACATGGGGTGATGGCGGCAGATGAATGGCATGACAATGGGCCTCAGGATCTCGTCACGGTATCTCTGTGCATTCAAATTGCTATCGATAAAATGCAATTGTGTTTGTTGTCTGTAGCTTATGCCTGCCCATACCATAACCCCACCGCCACCATGGGGCGCTCTGTTCACAACGTTGACATCAGCAAACCGCTCGCCCGCACGACGCCATATACAGTGGGGGAAAAAAGTATTTAGTCAGCCACCAATTGTGAGAGAGGCCTGTAATTTTCATCATAGGCACACGTCAACTATGACAGACAAATTGAGGAAAAAAAATCCAGAAAATCACATTGTAGGATTTTTAATGAATTTATTTGCAAATTATGGTGGAAAATAAGTACAGTGGGGGGAAAAAAGTATTTAGTCAGCCACCAATTGTGCAAGTTCTCCCACTTAAAAGATGAGAGAGGCCTGTAATTTTCATCATAGGTACACGTCAACTATGACAGACAAAATGAGGGAAAAAAATCCAGAAAATCACATTGTAGGATTTTTAATGAATTTATTTGCAAATTATGGTGGAAAATAAGTATTTGGTCAATAACAAAAGTTTCTCAATACTTTGTTATATACCCTTTGTTGGCAATGACACAGGTCAAACGTTTTCTGTAAGACAAACAAGCAAGATTTCTGGCTCTCACAGACCTGTAACTTCTTCTTTAAGATGCTCCTCTGTCCTCCACTCGTTACCTGTATTAATGGCACCTGTTTGAACTTGTTATCAGTATAAAAGACACCTGTCCACAACCTCAAACAGTCACACTCCAAACTCCACTATGGCCAAGACCAAAGAGCTGTCAAAGGACACCAGACACAAAATTGTAGACCTGCACCAGGCTGGGAAAACTGAATCTGCAATAGGTAAGCAGCTTGGTTTGAAGAAATCAACCGTGGGAGCAATTATTAGGAAATGGAAGACATACAAGACCACTGATAATCTCCCTCGATCTGGGGCTCCACGCAAGATCTCACCCCGTGGGGTCAAAATGATCACAAGAACGGTGAGCAAAAATCCCAGAACCACACGGGGGGACCTAGTGAATGACCTGCAGAGAGCTGGGACCAAAGTAACAAAGCCTACCATCAGTAACACACTACGCCGCCAGGGACTCAAATCCTGCAGTGCCAGACGTGTCCCCCTGCTTAAGCCAGTACATGTCCAGGCCCGTCTGAAGTTTGCTAGAGTGCATTTGGATGATCCAGAAGAGGATTGGGAGAATGTCATATGGTCAGATGAAACCAAAATAGAACTTTTTGGTAAAAACTCAACTCGTCGTGTTTGGAGGACAAAGAATGCTGAGTTGCATCCAAAGAACACCATACCTACTGTGAAGCATGGGGGTGGAAACATCATGCTTTGGGGCTGTTTTTCTGCAAAGGGACCAGGACGACTGATCCGTGTAAAGGAAAGAATGAATGGGGCCATGTATCGGGAGATTTTGAGTGAAAACCTCCTTCCATCAGCAAGGGCATTGAAGATGAAACGTGGCTGGGTCTTTCAGCATGACAATGATCCCAAACACACCGCCCGGGCAACGAAGGAGTGGCTTCGTAAGAAGCATTTCAAGGTCCTGGAGTGGCCTAGCCAGTCTCCAGATCTCAACCCCATAGAAAATCTTTGGAGGGAGTTGAAAGTCTGTGTTGCCCAGCAACAGCCCCAAAACATCACTGCTCTAGAGGAGATCTGCATGGAGGAATGGGCCAAAATACCAGCAACAGTGTGTGAAAACCTTGTGAAGACTTACAGAAAACGTTTGACCTGTGTCATTGCCAACAAAGGGTATATAACAAAGTATTGAGAAACTTTTGTTATTGACCAAATACTTATTTTCCACCATAATTTGCAAATAAATTAATTAAAAATCCTACAATGTGATTTTCTGGATTTTTTTTCTCATTTTGTCTGTCATAGTTGACGTGTACCTATGATGAAAATTACAGGCCTCTCTCATCTTTTTAAGTGGGAGAACTTGCACAATTAGTGGCTGACTAAATACTTTTTTTCCCCACCTGTACATGGTTGAGAGGCTGGTTGGACGTACTGCCAAATTCTCTAAAATGATGTTGGAGGCGGCTTATGGTAGAGAAATAAACATTACATTCTCTGGCAACAGCTCTGGTGGACTTTCCTGCAGTCAGCATGCCAATTGCACGATCCCTCAACACTTGAGACATCGGTGGCATTGTGTTGTGTGACAAAACTGCACATTTTAGAGTGGCCTTTTATTGTTCCCATCACAAGGTGCACCTGTGTAATGATCATTCTGTTTAATCAGTTTCTTGATATGCCACACCTGTCAGGTGGATGGATTATTTTGTCAAATGAGAAATGCTCACTAACAGGGATGTAAACGAATTTGTTCACAAAATTTGAGAGAAATAAGGCTTTTTGTGCATATGGAACATTTCTGGGACCTTTTATTTCAGCTCATGAAACATGGGACCAACACTTTACATGTTGCTTTTATTATTTTTGTTCAGTGTAACAGTTAATACATAATTACAATAATTACAGGGTTACTACCCAAGCTACACTAAAAATGATCATTGTTAAAAGCCTAATGGCCTACTTATTGGTAGATCCGATGATTTTGAATATTCATATATCAAGAATATCCATTCATTTCAATATTTGTATAACAAGATATATACTCCCCTATGTATTTATTTGGACAGTAATGCTTAAACCGTTAATTTGGCTCTATACTTCAGCATTTTGGATTTGAGATAAAATGTTTTATATGAGGCGACAGTACAGAATGTCCGATTTTATTTGAGGGTATTTTCATACATGTGAAAATGAAATCACTTTATGTATCTAGTCCCCCCATTTGAAGGTGTCTTAAGTATTTGGACAAATTCACTTATAGTGTATTAATTACATTTACTAAATAGTTTAGTATTTGGTCCCATATTCCTAGCACGCAATGACTACATCAAGCTTGTGACTCTACAATTTTGTTGGATGCATTTACAGATTGTTTTGGTTGTGTTTCGGATTATGTTGTGCCCAATATAAATGAATGGTAAATAATGTATTGTGTCATTTTGGGTCACTTGTATTGTAAATAAGAATATAATATGTTTCTGAACACTTCTATATCAATGTGGATCCTACCATGATTACGGATAATCATAAATTAATTGTGAATATGATGAGTAAGAAAGTTACAGAGGCATAAGTATCATAGCCTCCCCCGCAAAATGCTAACCTCCCCTGTAATTGGTAATGTTGAGAGGTTAGCATGTTTTGGGGGCATGATCTTTGTGCATCTGTAACTTTCTCACTTATCATTATTCAACATTCATTCACGATTATCTGTAATCATGGTAGCATCCACATTAATGTAGAAGCGTTGGGCACAACTTAATCCGAAACATAACCAGAACTAACTGCATCCAACAAGTTTGTAGTCACAAGCTTAGGTAGTCATTGTGTGCTAGGAATATAGGACCAAATACTAAACTTTTGACTAAATGTAATACAATATAAGTGAATTTGTCCAAACACTTATGACACCTTCAAATGGGGGGACTAGATACATAACGTGCTTTCATTTCTAAACGGTAAAACAGATATGTATGCACTCACTAACTGTAAATCGCTCTGGATAAGAGCGTCTGCTAAATGACTAAAATGTAAATGTAATGTAAATGTTAAATACACTCAAAAACGGTGACAGACAGCCTCATATAAAACATTTGATCTCAAATCCAGCTTTTCTGTCCAAATAAATACGCAGGGGAGTCTATGAGCTTGACATAGGGGGGCATTGGGTACCTCCTTTGTTTTTAGAACATTGAGGGAAGAAGAGTGTCCCCTACTGGCACTCCAACAACACAATTCCAGCAGCATCTGGTCTCCCATCCAAGGGTCGATGGTCATCAAAACAAGAGAACAATTTCCTACATTTGCGATTAAGTTGGGTTATTTGGTAGTTGTACTTTGTAGGCAAATGGCTTCGTATTTGAGTAACCTAGTTGACAAATATCACTTCAATGAGAATAATGCAAATGCTAAAGTCTTACTGCCATATAGATTTTAACGTGTCAAATACTTCTGTCATACTTTTTGTTAAAGTGGTGTTCGTATCTATGTATTTGAGTATCAATCGGAAGAAAGTTAAGATGCAACAATTTGTAAGTCGCTCTGGATAAGTGCGTCTGCTAAATGATGTAAATGTAAGTAAATAGATTGTAAAAGACTTAGCAGAGGATGGTTTCGATCCATCGACCTCTGGGTTATGGGCCCAGCACGCTTCCGCTGCGCCACTCTGCTCCTTCCAGGCTGTGATGAATCCGGCTATTTATTCAGTATTTCTGATGGCGGTCTGCACGTCGGTGTCGTGCCTTTGCAGCCAGCAACAGGTAGCTCCATTTTGGGCCCTGACTTCCGTCCGTAGCTGTACTCCATCTAGTAGTGTAGTTGACCGGCGTTGGATGCTGGTGATTTCTCTCTGAATATCTACATTAAAACGTCAAAACGTCGTACGCAATGAGGTAATTTCGTGCATTTGATAAGACAGTAATGTTGGATTATATTTATACAGTATCCAATTGTAAAAGATTTATAGACAGATGGAATTTAAAGGGGTGTTTTAGAGGGGGTTGTATTATTAGCTAGCTTACGTGTAGCGTGCTAACGTTAGCCCAGCTAGCCATCTTTGTTAGCCAAGTGGCCTGTATCATAGCTTATCTGATAGCTAACTCACTAACTAGCTACTGTAGCTACCTAGCTACATAACTATCTTGATAGGGCATGATAAGCTAGCGCCCTTTATTAGCTACCTAGCTAAACGTGCTTTGTTTTTTATTCGTAAAATCAATGGACGAATGAATGAACCGTCAGTAGCTAGCCATGCTATGGTAGCAGCTAGCTAGTTATATGGCTAGCTGGTGCTGCTTCTTAAGCAAATTAGTTAATGCGGTAAATGCTATCACCCAACTAACTGTATTGATAATGTAATCAATTTCAGAGGCGATAGGGGCAGGGGCCGGGGAGGCCGGTTCGGTTCACGTGGAGGACTGGTGCAAGGGTGAGTAGCTAACTAGCCAGTTGCTAGCATAATGATGTTGCCTTGTATTTCATTCTTCTAGCCAGGCAGATGAGCCTTGTCTTTACTTTGAGGTGGGATAACACTTCAAATTGAGCAAGCCTGCTTTTAGTTTTGTGTGACGCCATAATTGTTGATTTACTATGCGCACAACTGTAAAGTTAACCTGTCCAATATGAGATTTAAGATTCATGAGGTCACTTTGCCAACTGATATTCATAGAAGAATGTCTGGCACAATATAAGATGCATTGATGTTTCTTGGTCCCTTGTTTCAGGTATCGACCATTTGTCCCCCACATTCCCTTTGACTTCTATGTGGTGAGTATTTGCCACTATGCCAAGCATCCTTCCCATTCACATGCGCTCTTGCACCAATGGTTATGTTGAAGAGGGCATGTCAGTGGTACAGCATGTAGCTCACTTTAATTAAAATCAACAAAGAGTCAGTCAATGGAGATCAGCTCACCTACCCATACAGATTGTAATCAATGGAGATCAGCTCACCTACTCGTACACAATGGTCTAATAATGCTCTAGTTGAAACGACAGGGATAATAATATAATAATAATATGCCATTTAGCAGACGCTTTTATCCAAAGCTACTTACAGTCATGCGTGCATAATTTTTTTTGTGTATGGGTGGTCCCGGGGATCGAACCCATTACATTTTACATTTACATTTAAGTCAATTAGCAGACGCTCTTATCCAGAGCGACTTACAGTTAGTGAATACATTTTTTTTTTTATACTGGCCCCCGTGGGAATCGAACCCACAACCCTGGCGTTGCAAACGCCATGCTCTATCAACTGAGCTACATCCCTGCCGGCCATTCCCTCCCCTACCCTGGACGACGCTGGGCCAATTGTGCGCCGCCCATGAACCCACTACCTTGGCGTTACAAGCGCCGTGCTCTACCAGCTGAGCTACAGAGGACCACGATCTTGTCAAAGTAATACAGTAGCGCAGATAGGGATGTCGAGTGGACAGTGCTAAGCTGGCTCTCTGGTTCCCCCAGTGTGAGATGGCCTTCCCCAGAGTGAAACCGGCAGCAGACGAGACTGCCTTCAGTGAGTGTCTACTGAAGAGGAACCAGGACCTCAGCCCCACACCCGCAGAGCAGGTAGAAAACACACACAAACATTCTCTCTCGCTCTTAAACATTCAACACACTTCACTCGGTCATCCTCACTCAAACCACGCTTGCTTGATCATTTCACTCAAACTCTTGTATGCACACACCAACATATTCCTTTAGGTAATGTGTTAAACAACCCACTCCTACACTATGCCACCATAGAACTCTTTCAATTGACTACATGCAAACTCTCTGCTCCGACTTTCAGTCCTCCATCTTGTCCCTGGTCACCAAGATCAACAACGTCATCGACAACCTCATCGTCGCCCCCGGCAACTTTGAAGTGGTGAGTTCCAGAGCTCGGTAGAGATTAGCGTGCCAAAATGGTTATGTATCTGTATTGGATAACATATTTAGCCATGTACAATAACAATGTGAATTGCTTTCTCTTCACTTTCCAGCAAATTGAAGAGGTGCGTCAGGTGGGCTCATACAAGAAAGGCACCATGACAATGGGACACAATGTTGCTGACCTGGTGGTCATCCTCAAGATCTTGCCCACATGTGAGTTCTGTGTGTGTGTGTGTGTGTGTCCCAAAAAAGCAAAGCCCAGTTGTACATTCATTAACTGGTCTTCAAATGTCAGCATAATGTCTCAGATGTTGATTGCTACACAGTATTTTGCATCTTGGCTGGGTTATAGTACAAATCAGTCCTCATTCTGGACTGTATTTCCCAGAGCAGCCATTTTGAAATTGCGTCCATTGGTTGTACTGAACCCCCATAATGAAAGTTATCTCTTGCAGTGGAGGCCGTCGCAGCTCTCGGCAACAAAGTGGTGGAGACCCTTCGCACACAAGACCCTGCCGAAGGTGACCTATATTACACAGTTACATTTGTTTTCATGTAGCCACAGTGAAACATCAGTCACAGAAGTTAGATTTAGCTTTCAATAGCATCAATTGTACTCCAATTTAGCTTTCTTGATTTGTCGTGCCATGTTGTTTAGTGATGAATTCATACAAAAGTGAAAGTACAAGGATAATGTAGGCATGCTGGGTAATGGGATATGGGTTATTCTCAATCTTCACTGGTTGTGATCTAATGTTGCCAACTGACTCCCTCTCTGTGTCCTAGTTCTCTCCATGCTGACAAATGAGACAGGCTTTGAGATAAGCTCTGCCGATGCCACAGTGAAAATCCTCATCACCACCGTTCCCCCCAACCTGCGCAAGCTGGACCCCGAACTGCACCGTACGTGCACTCAGAAACTCACACGCAAACACGCAGCACAATGTGATAGAATGTAAACATGAGCTGCAACATAAGTACACTCATAGAGCTACATAAAGAAGTTAAAACACTCACATAGATGCACTGTGATTGGTAAACAGCTCTCTATACCATGCATGCCATACATAAGCATTCATTGTAGACTGGAGGAAGAGTGTGTGTGTTTAATGTAGATGTATTATCTGTTTTCAGCCAGACGATGGTGCTTTAAGTCAGGGTTTCCCAAACTCGGTCCTGGGGCCCCCCCCGGGTGCACGTTTTTGTTTTTGCCCAAGCACTACACAGCTGACTCAAATAGTCAAAGCTTGATGATGAGTTGGTTATTTGAATCAGCTGTGTAGTGCTAGGGTAACCCTGCTGTAAGTGGTCATATTGGTGTTGATGATATGGTCTCTTTCTCCCCAGTGGACATCAAGGTGCTGCAGAGTGCTCTGGCTGCCATCCGCCATGCCCGCTGGTTTGAGGAGAACGCCTCCCAATCTACGTAAGTCACCGTTTACCCTTAAAACCTTTTAGTCTTTTACCACTCACCCGGTTTACCCTCCCAAACCGATAGATCCTCATAATGTGTTCCAAATTATGTAATAGGACCTTACACCTCGGTCTCCTTTTTTTGTTGTTGACCCTTTTCACATCCTCAATGTTTCTCACAAGTGAAGGAGGAATAGAGGGAGGCTTTTTAATCCTAAATGTTTCAGCCATAATGACCATTGTCTTGAAAAATACTCTCTTCCTTTATTATCCTGTATAAATGGTGTATATTGTAAATGGCAATACAGTGAAGCGCCGACTAACTTGATCCTTTTTAACTTCTTAAGAGTGTTACTCATGTCCTGTTTGTTGTTATTTAGGGTGAAAGTGCTAATTCGCCTGCTGAAGGATCTGAGGGTGCGTTTCCCCGGGTTCGAGCCTCTCACCCCCTGGATCCTGGATCTACTGGTGAGTCCATAGAGACCATAGTTATACTGGATATACTGGTGGGGACACTACACCTACCATTAACACAACTACTGGTAAACCAATAGCATGTGATAAGGGTGAACGTTGGCACTTGGAGAGGCATGATAATGGATGATTTAGCTATTAGTTTGTTGTGGATTACCACACACAGAGCAAGTCACCTGGCTAATATGTTTTGTGTGATTCTCTGTCTTTGCTATTGTATTGACCCTAACTGAAAGCTTGTATCACATCACTGCATATCTAAAGGAGGAATGAATAAGAAATTAAAAGCGTTTAATGCGTTCCATCTCAGGGTCATTCTGCGGTCATGAACAACCCCTCCAGGCAGCCCTTGTCACTCAATGTGGCTTACAGGTGAGCCTCCCCATTCCCTCAGTCAGTGCTCAATGTATCTGAGGTTGTTTTCGTACGTCTTACTATTAGATATAGTAGTTTTTCTGTTATGTTCAGTGTCTCAATTCCAAAACTTTATATTATGATACTTTGCTGGCGGTGCCTATTTAAAAAAAAAAAATATATATATATATATATATATATACAGTATCTCACAAAAGTGAGTACACCCCTCACATTTTTGTAAATATTTGAGTATATCTTTTCATGTGACAACACTGAAGAAATGACACTTTGCTACAATGTAATGTAGTGAGTGTACAGCTTGTATAACAGTGTAAATTTACTGTCCCCTCAAAATAACACAACACACAGCCATTAATGTCTAAACCGCTGGCAACAAAAGTGAGTACACCCCTAAGTGAAAATGTCAAAATTGGGCCCAAAGTGTCAATATTTTGTGTGGCCATCATCATTATCCAGCACTGCCTTAACCCTCTTGGGCATGGAGTTCACCAGAGCTTCACAGGTTGCCACTGGAGTCCTCTTCCACTCCTCCATGATGACATCACGGAGCTGGTGGATGTTAGAGACCTTGCACTCCTCTACCTTCCGTTTGAGGATGCCCCACAGATGCTCAATAGGGTTTAGGTCTGGGAGACATGCTTGGCCAGTCCATCACCTTTACCCTCAGCTTCTTTAGCAAGGCAGTGGTCGTCTTGGAGGTGTGTTTAGGGTCGTTATCATGTTGGAATACTGCCCTGCGGCCCAGTTTCCGAAGGGAGGGGATCATGCTCTGCTTCAGTATGTCACAGTACATGTTGGCATTCATGGTTCCCTCAATGAACTGTAGCTCCCCAGTGCCGGCAGCACTCATGCAGCCCCAGACCATGACACTCCCACCACCATGCTTGACTGTAGGCAAGACACACTTGTCTTTGTACTCCTCACCTGGTTGCCGCCACACACGCTTGACACCATCTGAACCAAATACGTTTATCTTGGTCTCATCAGACCACAGGACATGGTTCCAGTAATCCATGTCCTTAGTCTGCTTGTCTTCAGCAAACTGTTTGCGGGCTTTCTTGTGCATCATCTTTAGAAGAGGCTTCCTTCTGGGACGACAGCCATGCAGACCAATTTGATGCAGTGTGCGGCGTATGGTCTGAGCACTGACAGTCTGACCCCCCACCCCTTCAACCTCTGCAGCAATGCTGGCAGCACTCATATGTCTATTTCCCAAAGACAACCTCTGGATATGACGCTGAGCACGTGCACTCAACTTCTTTGGTCGACCATGGCGAGGCCTGTTCTGAGTGGAACCTATCTTGTTAAACCGCTGTATGGTCTTGGCCGCCGTGCTGCAGCTCAGTTTCAGGGTCTTGCCAATCTTCTTATAGCCCAGGCCATCTTTATGTAGAGAAACAATTCTTTTTTTCAGATCCTCTGAGAGTTCTTTGCCATGAGGTGCCATGTTGAACTTCCAGTGAGCAGTATGAGGGAGTGTGAGAGCGATGACACCAAATTTAACACACCTGCTCCCCATTCACACCTGAGACCTTGTAACACTAACGAGTCACATGACACAGGGGAGGGAAAATGGCTAATTGGGCCCAATTTGGACATTTTCACTTAGGGGTGTACTCACTTTTGTTGCCAGTGGTTTAGACATTAATGGCTGTGTGTTGAGTTATTTTGAGGGGACAGCAAATGTACTCTTACACAAGCTGTACACACACTACTTTACATTGTAGCAAAGTGTCATTTCTTCAGTGTTGTCACATGAACAGATATACTCAAATATTTACAAAAATGTGAGGGGTGTACTCACTTTTGTGAGATACTGTGTGTATATGTATGTATATATATATATTACAGTTGAAGTCGGAAGTTTACATACTCTTAGGTTGGAGTCATTAAAACTAGTTTTTCATCCACTCCACAAATTTCTTGTTAACAAACTATAGTTTTGGCAAGTCGGTTAGGACATCTACTTTGTGCATGACACAAGTAATTTTTCCAACAATTGTTTACAGACAATTTCACTTATAATTCACTATCACAATTCCAGTGGATTAGAAGTTTACATACACTAAGTTGACAATTGGAGGTGTACCTGTGGATGTATTTCAAGGCCTACCTTCAAACTCAGTGCCTCTTTGCTTGACATCATGGGAAAATCAAAAGAAATCAGCCAAGACCTCAGAAAAATAATTGTAGACCTCCACAAGTCTGGTTCATCCTTGGGAGCAATTTCCAAACGCCTGAAGGTACCACGTTCATCTGTACAAACAATAGTACACAAGTATAAACACCATGGGACCACGCAGCCGTCATACCGCTCAGGAAGGAGACGCATTCTGTCTCCTAGAGATGAACGTACTTTGGTGCGAAAAGTGCAAATCAATCCCAGAACAACAGCAAAGGACCTTGTGAAGACGCTGGAGGAAACAGGTACAAAAGTATCTATATCCACAGTAAAACGAGTCCTATATCGACATAACCTGAAAGGCCGCTCAGCAAGGATGGAGCCACTGCTCCAAAACCGCCATAAAAAAGCCAGACTACAGTTTGCTGCACATGGGGACAAAGATCGTACTTTTTGGAGAAATATCCTCTGGTCTGATGAAACAAATAGAACTGTTGGGCCATAATGATCAAATCAAATTTTATTGGTCACATGCGCCGAATACAACAGGTGCAGACATTACAGTGAAATGCTTACTTACAGCCCTTAACCAACAGTGCATTTATTTTAAACAAAAAAGTAAAAATAAAACAACAACAACAAAAAAAGTGTTGAGAAAAAAAAGAGCATAAGTAAAATAAAGTGACAGTAGGGAGGCTATATATACAGGGGGGTACCGTTGCAGAGTCAATGTGCGGGGGCACCGGCTAGTTGAGGTAGTTGAGGTAATATGTACATGTGGGTAGAGTTAAAGTGACTATGCATAAATACTTAACAGAGTAGCAGCAGCGTAAAAAGGATGGGGTGGGGGGGCAGTGCAAATAGTCCGGGTAGCCATGATTAGCTGTTCAGGAGTCTTATGGCTTGGGGGTAGAAGCTGTTGAGAAGTCTTTTGGACCTAGACTTGGCACTCCGGTACCGCTTGCCGTGCGGTAGCAGAGAGAACAGTCTATGACTAGGGTGGCTGGAGTCTTTGACAATTTTGAGGGCCTTCCTCTGGATGACCATCATTATGTTTGTTTGTAATGACCATCATTATGTTTGTAGTAAAAAGGGAGATGCTTGCAAGCCGAAGAACACCATCCCAACCGTGAAGCACAGGGGTGGCAGCATCATGCTGTGGGGGTGCTTTGCTGCAGGAGGGACTGGTGCACCTCACAAAATAGATGGCATCATGAGGAAGGAAAATTATGTGGATATATTGAAGCAGAAATAAATAATTCTCTCTAGTATTATTCTGACATTTCACATTCTTAAAATAAAGTGGTGATCCTAACTGACCTAAAATGGAATTTTTACTAGGATTAAATGTCAGGAATTGTGAAAAAATGAGTTTAAATGTATTTGGCTAAGGTGTATGTAAACTTCCGACATCAACTGTATATACACACACACACCGTGCATTCGGAAAGTATTCAGACCCATCCCGTTTTCCACATTTTGTTACCTTACAGCCTTATTCTAAAATTGATTAAATAAATTAAATAAATCACCAATCTACACACATTACCCCATAATGACAAAGCGAAAACAGGGTGTTATTTTTGTGTGCAAATGTATTAACAATAAAAAACAGATACATTTACATTTACATTTTAGTCATTTAGCAGACGCTCTTATCCAGAGCGACTTACAGTTAGTGAATAATTTATTTTATTTTATTTTTTTATACTGGCCCCCTGTGGGAATCAAACCCACAACCCTGGCATTGCAAACGCCATGCTCTATCAACTGAGCTACATCCCTGCCGGCCATTCCCTCCCCTACCCTGGACGACGCTGGGCCAATTGTGCGCCGCCCATGAGTCTCCCGGTCGCGGCCGGCTGCAACAGAGCCTGGATTCGAACCAGGATCTCTAGTGGCACAGTTAGCACTGCGATGCAGTGCCTTAGACCACTGCGCCACTCATGTATTATTTACATAAGTATTCAGACCCTTCGCTATGAGACTCGAAATTGAGCTCAGGTGCATCCTGTTTCCATTGATCATCCTTGATGTTTCTACAACTTGATTGGAGTCCACCTGTGGTAAATTCAATTGGTTGGACAGGATTTGGAAAGGCACACACCTGTCTATATAGGGTCCCACAGTTGACAGTGCATGTCAGAGCAAAAACCAAGCCATGAGGTTGAAGGAATTGTCCGTAGAGCTCCGAGGCAGGATTGTGTCGAGGCACAGATCTGCGGAAGGGTACCAAAATATTTCTGCAGCATTGAAGGTCCCCAAGAACTCAGTGGCCTCCATCATTCTTAAATGGAAGAAGTTTGGAACCACCAAGACTCTTCCTAGAGCTGGCCGCCCGGCCAAACTGAGCAATTGGGGGAGAAGGGCCTTGGTCAGGAAGGTGTCCAAGAACCCAATGGTCACTCTGACAGAGCTCCAGAGTTCCTCTGGAGATGGGAGAACCTTCCAGAAGGACAACCATCTCTGCAGCAATCCACCAATCAGGCCTTTATGGTAGAGTGGCCAGACAGAAGCCACTCTTCAGTAAAAGGCACATGACATCCCACTTGGAGTTTGCCAAAAGGCACCTAAAGGACTCAGACCACGAGAAACCAGATTCTCTGGTCTGATGAAACCAAGATTGAACCTGGCACCATCCCTATGGTGAAGCGTGGTGGTAGCATCATGCTGTGGGGATGTTTTTCAGCGGCAGGGACTGGGAGACTAGTCAGGGATCGAGGGAAAGATGAATGGAGCAAAGTACGGAGATCCTTGATGAAAACCTGCTCCAGAGCGCTCAGGACCTCAGACTGAGGAGACGGTTCACCTTCCAACAGGACAACGACCCTAAGCACACAGCCGAGACAACGCAGGAGTGGCTTCGGGACAAGTCTCTGAATGTCCTTGAGTGGCCCAGCCAAACACTGGACTTGAACCCGATCGAACATCACTGGAGAGACCTGAAAATAGCTGTGCAGCGACGCACCCCATCCAACCTGACAGCGCTTGAGAGGATCTGCAGAGAAGAATGAGATACATTTTTTATTAATCACAATTTTCTTTAACCAATTTTGGTCTGTAATGCAGAGCCGACAGACAAGTTCCTTACTTTTTCCCCCTTCCACTTGCCTCTTCCATTTTTGCGGTAATGCTGCAATTAGTTGGTTGTAAGCAGACATTTCCATATATTTTTGTTAGCTGCATGTGTGACAACTCCACCAGTCATATTTATAATATAATTTACAAAGATCATACAGTTTTTAAACATTTATTATTTTATTTTTATTTTTATCAATTAGTATATTTGAGTTTTAATCATATTTGTTGTAATATTTGTTCTGTCTTTTCTGTTGGATTAAACTGAAATTGCAACCAACTTTCTATGGCTTGTTATAAAAACACCGATACTAAACTGAAATTGCAACCAACTTTCTACGGCTTGTTTTAAAAAGAGCGATACTAAACTGAAATTGCAGCCAACTTTCTACGGCTTGTTTTAAAAAGAGCGATACTAAACTGAAATTGCAACCAACTTTCTACGGCTTGTTTTAAAAAGAGCGACATTTTGGTGATAATTAAATTTTCAAATAACCGAAAGTGAGAGGTTGTAATCTGAATAAAGGGGAAAGGCCATTCTTGATTCTTACTTTTTGTTGTTTATTTTGCTCTTTTCAGACGCTGCCTACAGATGTTGGCCGCTGGACTATTCCTGCCAGGCTCAGTAGGCATCACTGACCCCTGTGAGAGTGGAAACTTCCGGGTGCACACCGTCATGACCCTCGAGCAGCAGGTAATAACATCTCTTTAGCTGCCTTCATGGTGCAGGGGTGGAGAACCTTGGTCTTAGTGACAGGGTTTGCTCCAGCCCAGCACTAAAACACTAAATCTGTTTCCATGATCATTTAGGTATGTGAATTGAAAGTGTGTGTGTCTGTTTTGTTTTTGCAGGACATGGTGTGTTTCACTGCTCAGACGTTGGTGAGGGTACTCTCTCATGGAGGGTACAGGAAGATCCTGGGCCTGGAGGGTGATGCCAGCTGTGAGTCTCTCGCGTGTGCGCTCTCTCACACACACACACACCCACCCTTTTTCTCAAAGTAAACATTAAATAAATCTACCTCACTCTCCCAGACCTGGCTTCGGAAATGTCCACATGGGACGGCGTGATCGTCACACCTTCTGAGAAGGCCTACGAGAAGCCGCCAGAGAGGAAGGAAGAGGAGGATGAGGCGCTGGAGGAAGGAGGAGATGTAGAGGATGAAAGCATGGAGACACAGGAGTGAGAAAGACCTGGAAAGTGGTGAGCTGCCTGGTACCAGTAGCCAGTCAAAAACAGGCTCATTACCAGGCTAGCTAGCTGCCTAGCTTGTTGTTACAGCTCCTACAGTAGCTTTGTTAGCGCATTAGCTAACTTAAGCCATAGTTAGCTTGAAACGTAACATTCTGTAAATTAGCCTACTTTGCATAGTTGCTAGTAGCAAATCCCATTCATGTATTTAAGAGTAAACAAAATCAACATTACTTTTTTGTTTATGGAAAGAAATCATTGTAACACCAAGTCATAACGAAGTAAGCTATGTAGCCAACTAGCAGTGCTGCCACACATCAACAACCAGCAAGAGAGACTAGCCTGCGATAGTAGTGCATGGTGCCGTAGAGAAAAGCGCCATCTACTGTATCAGTGTTATAGGTGAGAATTCTGTAAAATCAACTCCGCTTTACACAGAGTATAATAGGAGAGGGTTTGCGAAGGACATTCTTTTATCTTTGAGAACCACTCAAAGTTCAACTTCGATTCTAGCGATTCTAACCCTGTGGGCTGAGTGATGGTTGCGCCAGATATCCTCTGTATTAAGACAAAAAGGTCAAGGCTTAATGGGAGACGGGCAGCGCCATTAGCGTTGCGAGTGACAAAAGGCCAAATGGTGTTAGTGGTGGGATCCAATTCACTGTTTTACCCATACAATGTGATCTGAGGCTTAACAACTTGTTAATTTTCTCCTCTTGTAGCCATCCAGAGGATCCTGTGCCACGTCTTTTAAACAATCGTTTACCCCTGACCCTTTTGGAGACCCTTCGCTCGCCCCTTTGTCCTTCAATGAAGTTCATGTCCACTAATCATGAATTGACTCCATCGACCTGGACCAAAGTGCGCCAACTGGACGGACAGACTCACATATAGACTGTTACTGGTCCCTCAACGCCCTCAACAAAAATGAAATTGATGGTCTTCTCAAAAGGGGCGGGTGTCACTATTAATTTGTATTCCGTGTCTTTGTGTGGTTTTTAATTTGTAACAGCAATGATGACTAAATTAAACAACTTCTTTATTTTAATATGCCTCTTTATGTAAATGCATCAATTTAGAAATGGATACCCTTATTTTCTAATGTGTGGGTGGCTGGATGGATGGGTAGAATACATATGCCCCATGCTTGTGAGAGAACGCATACTTCATTTTCAGATCTTGCCATAGAATGTGTAATTACCTCCACAGATCCAGTCTATGTACCCAAAATTTGACAAACCTTTTTAATGTTTTATTTGATACTTTTTATTGAATCACAGTTCAACTTAAATGATGTTTTGCAGTTCAGATTTTAGAGGTTACTGGTAAAAGGAGCATTTAATCCATAACATAACAAAACAATCTGATCTTAAGATTTCATATAACTTCATAAAACAGTTTAACGTTCATACTCCTTTATATTAAAACTCATAAACATGTCACTGAATAATAAGAATCATGATTTTAGACAACTTTTACTATCAGTTATAGGTAGGCTTGTCTTTTGGTGACCTCGCCAGTAACCAAATGCCTCCAAATGAATGCTCTAAGATAGCTCTGGAAAATACCTGGATCTTTTGAATGGTCTCATCATAGAGATTGTATGAAATTACTAGAGGGATATTTTTTTATTTAACCAGGTAAGCCAGTTGCGACCTGGCCAAGATAAAGCAAAGCAGTGCGATAAAAACAACAACACAGAGTTACATATGGAATAAACAAAACAAAGTAAAAAATACAACATAAAATAATATATACAGTGTGTGCAAATGTAGCAAGTTATGGAGGTAAGGCAATAAATAGGCCATAGTGCAAAATAATTACAATTTAGTATTAACACTGGAATGATAGATGTGCAAGAGATGATGTGCAAATAGAGATACTGGGGTGCAAATTAGCAAAATAAATAATATGGGGATGAGGTAGTTGGGTGGGCTAATTTCAGATGGGCTGTGTACAGGTGCAGTGATCGGTAAGGTGCTCTGACAACTGATGCTTAAAGTTAGTGAGGGAGATAAGTCTCCAGCTTCAGAGATTTTTGCAGTTCGTTCCAGTCATTGGCAGCAGAAAACTGGAAGGAATGGCGGCCAAAGGAGGTGTTGGCTTTGGGGGTGACCAGTGAGATATACCTGCTGGAGCGCATACGACGGGTGGGCGTTGCTACGGTGACCAATGAGCTAAGATAAGGCGGGGATTTGCCTAGCAGTGATTTATAGACGACCTGGAGCCAGTGGGTTTGGCGACGAATATGTAGTGAGGACCAGCCAACAAGAGCATACAGGTCACAGTGGTGGGTAGTATATGGGGCTTTGGTGACAAAACGGATGGCACTGTGATAGACTACATCCAATTTGCTGAGTAGAGTGTTGGAGGCTATTTTGTAAATGACATTGCCGAAGTCAAGGATCGGTGGGATAGTCAGTTTTACGAGGGCATGTTTGGCAGCATGAGTGAAGGAGGCTTTGTTGCGAAATAGGAAGCCGATTCTAGATTTAACATGTCACTAAACCCTAAAAGTTTCATAATAGGGTGGAAATGGCAGCCATATTGGTCAGGGAGAAATCCAAAACCAGTCTAATTGGAATGAATGGCAGTGGAGGCTTAGGTGGGGCGTTTCCTGCTTTTACTTATGCAGGAAAATAAAAGGAAAGCATCTGATGAACCAGAAATTGTAATGGTATTATAGTCAACATAAAATGTTGTCATATAGTTATAAATACAGTTTTATACAGGTTTTATACACATTTTCTGTATAAATAGTCTCTAAATAGTCGCTATCATCAACTGATTTCAGCCAGTGTATGGCTGTGAATTGAATGCATTGTTTGAATGGAATATTGGCAGTTAATTTGACAAATGTATGGAATAATTCCTCTAAAACTGTCTGGCTAGCTAACACATACAGTGCAGATAAATTCTTCACATTCATTGTTTTACACTATCTATTCACAGCACTGGCAAACCATGGTTGACCAACTCCCTGACCAACATGGCTGACTTTGGGACCATAAGGTTCAAGGCCATTCTAGTATTCTAATTCTAGGGCCTACTGAGGTAACTGAAGAAGACTGCAAAACATTAGAACAATTGAGGACCAGCCACAAGTAGCACCGCATGCCTGTAGATGGCATCAGAGTAAATTATATTGCAGACGGCAGCCAAGCTCAAACAACTTTTGCTGAAATCTCCCTCATGGTCTATCGATCAACTCTCAGATTCTAGCTCATCACACTGTACCATGATCTTATCATTTACCAAATCTCCTAATTCTATTCTTCTCAGGAGTTTATTCAGAAACCGGATATTCATGATATTGGATTGCATTCTTACGTATAATGCTTTTCATTACTGGTCTCTATGTGTTTTGTATTGGGAGTGTTACCTCATCCAGCTCCAATATGGGTGACACACGGAAGCCATTTGGTGCCCGAAAACTATGCTCACATCTGCGATTATAGCGGAGATGTAAGGGTTTGTTCCCTGGCCAATCTGTTTAACTTCTAAGAGATTACACAGACAGACTAATTGAATAAGAGAGGATCTGGAAAGCCATCATGCCCTTTATATGTGCCTGCTCTGTTTTCTGTTGCTTTTACCAGACTGTTCAAGTCCATCCAATGGTGTGTTTACTGAGTGGATTTAGCCAATTGGCTGCAGTGAATTAGTGTCTGTGTTCCAGATGGCCAAGTGATCTTGTTTTTGATCCAGTAGACCTTATTAACCCAACAGTGACCTCGTCAAGACAATCGGACCTCTTGGCATTACAGCTAAGGTGTTGGATTGACAGTAGCACGGGTTCAGGCCCCGGTCAGGCCTAACCCCTGACTTTGCCATGTGAAATGTAGAAAATAAATACATTTCCAATGCTGCTTTATAAGAGAAATATTATTTTAGAATCCAACAGCGACAGTGTGTGGTGGTGAAGCACAACAGTTTAGTCATCATATCTGATAAACTGGATAGGCCTTATTAAGTCTCCAAGCCCAGGTCCTTCAAATGTACAGTTTGTCACAGTTAGCTATATCGTAGTTTGTTGTATTGCAAAGATCTCTCAACAGCTCCTTTTCAAACAAACATGACATCCTTCCAATTTTCTAACAACCGAGTCACATCTGTAAATGCCACATCTTGTTCACTTTCCATTTCCCTCCTTTCTGAAGCAGTTGCCTGGAACAGCCTATTTTCCCCCTGCAGGAGGTAAACTGGGATGTTTGAATAGGAGTGAGAAGCAGTTTACTCAGTCGACTAAAGATGGCGCTTGTAATCTCGGATCCCATTGAGTCACACGGCGCCCAGCTGTTCAGCTGACACCGGGAACAGAGGAAATAAATGGATTAGGCGCCTCAATCACAATGACGATTTCAGAAAAATTACTGTTTGAACCGATATGCCCTGCTGAGAAAATCATTGCACCTGAAACTCTTACTCAATTCATATCGCCCGGTTAATGGAATCTTACCAGTGGCGTGTATTGATGGATGCCAAGGGAAGCCAGGCTTCCCCAAAAAATTTACCAAAAAACAAACATCAAATCATTTATCTTTCGTCTCTGTGTTTCATCATTTTCCTTCAATTCACACGAAGCTAAATGTATCTCACAGGAGAAAGTATCCGAGCGAGCGAAACAGAGCCCCTCTGTCTCTCTACGTGTAGGCCTTCTATCTGATGCTGTCTGGTCCAAACAACATTTTACATTTACATTTACGTCATTTAGCAGACGCTCTTATCCAGAGCGACTTACAAATTGGTGCATTCACCCTATAGCCAGTGGGATAACCACTTTACTTTTTTTTATTATTTTTTTTTTTTTTTGGGGGGGGGGGGGGGGTAGAAGGATTACTTTATCCTATCCCAGGTATTCCTTAAAGAGGTGGGGTTTCAAATGTCTCCGGAAGGTGGTGAGTGACTCCGCTGTCCTGGCGTTGTGAGGGAGCTTGTTCCACCATTGGGGTGCCAGAGCAGCGAACAGTTTTGACTGGGCTGAGCGGGAACTATGCTTCCGCAGAGGAAGGGGAGCCAGCAGGCCAGAGGTGGATGAACGCAATGCCCTCGTTTGGGTGTAGGGACTGATCAGAGCCTGAAGGTACGGAGGTGCCGTTCCCCTCACTGCTCCATAGGCAAGCACCATGGTCTTGTAACGGATGCGAGCTTCAACTGGAAGCCAGTGGAGTGTGCGGAGGAGGGGGGTGACGTGAGAGAACTTGGGAAGGTTGAACACCAGACGGGCTGCGGCATTCTGGATTAGTTGTAGGGGTTTAATGGCACAGGCAGGGAGCCCAGCCAACAGCGAGTTGCAGTAATCCAGACGGGAGATGACAAGTGCCTGGATTAGGACCTATGCCGCTTCCTGTGTAAGGCAGGGTCGTACTCTCCGAATGTTGTAGAGCATGAACCTGCAGGATCGGGTCACCGCCTTGATGTTAGCGGAGAACGACAGGGTGTTGTCCAGGGTCACGCCAAGGCTCTTCGCACTCTGGGAGGAGGACACAACGGAGTTGTCAACCGTGATGGCGAGATCATGGAACGGGCAGTCCTTCCCCGGGAGGAAGAGCAGCTCCGTCTTGCCAGGGTTCAGCTTGAGGTGGTGATCCGTCATCCATACTGATATGTCTGCCAGACATGCAGAGATGCGATTCGCCACCTGGTTATCAGAAGGGGGAAAGGAGAAGATTAGTTGTGTATCGTCAGCGTAGCAATGATAGGAGAGGCCATGTGAGGATATGACAGAGCCAAGTGACTTGGTGTATAGGGAGAAAAGGAGAGGGCCTAGAACTGAGCCCTGGGGGACACCAGTGGTGAGAGCACGTGGTGCGGAGACAGCTTCTCGCCACGCCACTTGGTAGGAGCGACCGGTCAGGTAGGACGCGATCCAGGAGTGAGCCGCGCCGGAGATGCCCAGCTCGGAGAGGGTGGAGAGGAGGGTCTGATGGTTCACAGTATCAAAGGCAGCAGACAGGTCTAGAAGGACAAGAGCAGAGGAGAGAGAGTTAGCTTTAGCAGTGCGGAGAGCCTCCGTGACACAGAGAAGAGCAGTCTCAGTTGAATGACCA